AGTGAATGTCCTTTTTAAAGCCCAAAGGGTTCGAAACTCCTTGGCTGCGACTTCCCGGCAATGGGCCGTCGTCTTAAGATCATTACTCACTGTCACCTCTAGATCCTTATGAGACCGGACTACGGGTAATGACACATCCCCTATGTTGTACGTATCAACCTTTGATAGGCATCAGCCACTCTTTAGACCAGTTCATCATATTATTTAAGTCCACCTGAAGAGTAAATGTGTCTTTGTCTCCAGTTATTACTCGCCAAATTTTACATCGTCAGCGTATAATAACATTGGAGACTGTACTATACTTGTAAGATCATTAACGTACATTATAAAAAGTAAAGGACCTAGGACGGAACCTTGGGGTACTCCACTAAGTACTGGTCTTCAGACGGAGCACTTGCAATTTATTCTTACCTTTTGTCTACGGCCTACTAGGAAATCCTTAATTCATTTTAAAAGAGGTCCGGCAATACCAAGGTTTGCCAACTTCACTAGCAGTCTATTAGTTGGCACCTTGTCAAAAGCCTTACTGAAAACTATGTGGACAACATCTACTGAGTTTCCGTTGTCTAGCGCATTAATCCAGAGCTCCCTAGCTATAAGGAGGTTCGTTGGACAGGATAGACCCTTTCTAAAACCATGTTGTGCCATGTTCAGCAAGTTATTGGTTTCCATAAATGCTGTTATGGTCCGTTTGATGATTCTTTCCAGTATTTTAATTACAACACTGGTGAAGCTTACGGGTCTGTAATTTGATGGAAGTTGTCGTAGACCTGTTTTATGTATGGGAGTGACGATTGCGTCCTTCCAGTTCGTAGGTAACACACCTTGGTCAAGTGACATTTTGAATATCACAGTTAGTGGGGCTGCGATATATTGGGCAATATGTCTCAAGATTTCGGGGTGTAGTTCATCTGGTCCTGTTGACTTCTCCATGTTTAGGGTGCTAAGAGCCTTAAGCACATCGTTTTGGTCGAAGTTCACGGTGAGCAGGTGAGTTGTCGACTCTTTATTTTAGTCTGGTTCTTTCTCTAGAGGAGGTTCCTGAGTGAAAACTGCCCCAAAGTAGTCAGCCATAACCTCAGCTTTTTCCTGATCTTCCTCTATCATTTCAGATTCACTTCCTACTTTAATTAGGTTGGGAATCCAATGATGAGTCCTTCTTCTGTAGTTTATGTACGAGAATATCCTCTTGGGCTGCTTGAGTGCAGATTCTGCCAGCTGCATTTCATATTTTCTTTGAGCTTCCCGAATTTTCATTATACACTCGTTTCTTATCAATCTGTAGCGTTCCATCGTACCTGCTGTGCCAAGGCGGATGGCAACGTCCCAGCATTTCTTCTTTCGTCTTAGTAAACGCCGAATATCCCGCCCTATCCAGGGATGTTCGTGATTTTTTTCTTTGGGACAGTCCAGGGTATGTATGATTGAGTTACCCGATAGTATAACTGCCTGAATGGAGTCCATGCCTCTTGTACTGATGCATTTTGAGTCAATTTCCCAGTTTTCAGCCGATGCTGCATATCTGCCTTCCATATGTTAGGACGGGCCGGCGCAACTGTTTGACAGGCAATCTCAGTCATGAATTTGAATGAGATGACTGCATGGTCACTTCTCCCAAGTGGTGGGAGAAAAACAATTTGACCAACATCATCACCGTGTGTTGAGACTAAATCTAAAAGAGAAGAGAAGTTTCTTGTGGGATCTCTAATGTGCTGGAATAATGCTAATACAATCGATGTTTCTAACAGTTTGCAGTCGAACGACGATATCGATGACCCTACTTCTAAGTTAACCCAGTTTATATATGGTGCATTAAAGTCGCCTACTACAAGGCTTTTACCGTTGTTACACCAGGACGTAAGTTTACTTAGGAGAAAATCATCTGCTACACATTCTGGACTGCGATATACTGCAACTACTTCAATATCTTGCCGTCGGCATTTCAACTTACATCTCACCAGTTCACATATCCCTGAAACATGTGCTACTGTCTCAGCTAATCTTATGGTTAGGGTACTTTTCGTGTACACAATAACCCCGCCTCCCCTTCGGTTTAATCTATCAGCCCTACTGGTTATGAAACCAGTCAACTGTATTTCACCATCTTATACTTCTGACGTTAACCAAGTTTCCGGGACAGCGATAACGTCCGGTTTTTCTTTATCCACCACTGACTTCAGCTCCGCCATTTTATTTAGTAGGCTGCGAGCATTTGTGTAGCACACTTTTAAGTCTGTGGAGAGCTTTCCCTTGCCACCCAGAGTGGCTTGGGGATCGTTTTGCTCCGAACTTTTACAATCTGAAAACCCTTAGGAACGAGGTTTCTTTCACCGTTTCGGCGACGCTCGTTTATTTCCGCTTCTGCAGCTCTTCTCTTAGTACGATCAGCTAGGCTGAGGTCCTCACGGACATATATTCCGGATCCAATCAGTTTACGTGAATTACTTAGAATCAGGTTCCTTTCTTCCACCGTGTCGAATGTAACCCTTAGGAGGCGGTTTTTCTGAGGACTTTCGGAATCCACCTTTTTTCCTATTCTATAAAGCTTACAAATACTAACTCCTGAAACTGTATCTGGGAGTAGTTTACTTAATGATGTCTTGATATGATTGAGATCATGTTCAAATCTTGCCTTTGGTTCAGTATCTGAAGATTCTCTTACCTTATGAAAAATGACTGATCTCTCAGAGAGATCTGTCTTTTCACGCGGTGAGGATTTTTCTTCTGATAACATCCCTTCCAATGTCTTGCTGACCAGCTGCGTTTTGCCTACAGCCTTTTTCTTCTTATTTTTTTTCTTCTTACCGAAGTCCATTTGTCGCCACTCAGAACAGCCACACCTGGACTATGTGGAACGGTGACAGTTTTATCCGGATCTTCTATTTCGACTAGAGGTGTATGACTGCCGATGTCAATATCAAGCAACACTTCATTTCTCGTTAATGTCAACGGAGATTTCACGTTCCCGTCAACCGCAGTCAGGTGTTTAATGGGTCCAGTAGCAGCACTTACTACACTGACACATTCTTCATCGTCAGTGCTCCTGTTATCAGTGCTTCCGCCATCGTTTTTCTTGCAGGCCAAAGCCAATAGGCCCATAGCCTCCTTTTAATCCGTACAGCAGAACATACAAAGCCAATGCGAGTTAGGCTTCGAGCATCTTTTGTAAGCCGTCGGACTTAGTCGTGTACACATTTTGTGATACCACTTTTTACAGTCGTCACACTGCATTCCCTCCTCAACAGAGAACAAACAATTTGGTTGCCCACATTTATGAGTCTTACCAACCATTGTAATTCGATTTAAAAGGTTTAAAAACAAAAAAATGATAACAATGTGAACACAAGTATTGGTCAAGGACTAAAAACAGGTACTCAGGACAAAATGTAGCAAAAAATTTCAGACTTTAACCAAAGAACTCTTAGTTAAAGTAGACCAAGAATGCTTTTTAGTGCAATAAGTAATAAGTGATATAACCACTCCTTGAATCGCCAAAAGTCTCCAAGTTCGATGTGGTTTACTTAAATACAGGATAAGATACAAACGGACAACTTTTCTTTCTAAATTTGAAGTTCGCATGCTTGTTCGTTATAATTTTTAGTAACCTTGAAAACCATAACATTCGTAGCACGTCATTATTTGAAATATGTCATGTCATGAAATATGTCATGTCTATTCATCGGATTAATGGGATTGAATTAACAAAGGAGATTGTTTGGGAAGACTGAACTTTGAAGCTCCTGTTTAGAACTATATAAAAATTAGTTGCTATTTACCTCATATAAGATTGAAGCATTTACGTCAACGTAACATTGGATTGTGACCGACGTCATGTTTGTGTAGTCTCTAGTGAATGTCAACTCCTGTCGGCGAAGCTGCAATGTGGTCATCGATCTAGGTGATATCTATGTACAATTAAATGTATCGTTCTTTCTTCCTATAACTACACTCTTTCGTGATAAATTTCCTGATTCGTTGATATTTATCACTCGAGTACATCGTCCAGAATACCCTAGTATCAATGTCGTTTAGGAAAGAGGTACCAAGTTATATGTAATAAATATATGCATTGCCAAGTTTATTTACGAAAAGTTGAGCCCTTCTTTTTCTTGGTTTATTTACAAATGGCTACTAACGCTTCGGTTAGTTTGTATGTCTGACTATAGTGCCATTTTTTACGATTATTTCATATTACAAATTTCTAAAATCTGCACTTCAAATTCCGAACCACAATTTGGGTTGATAGTTCGATAAAAATCAAGCCATTTAGCCGAAACACTGACTTTGATGAAATTACGGTTTCTTGTTCGCTCGTATCAGTAGTCACCATTCCTGGACAATCGGGACCACAAATCAATATAAGTTGTGAAAGAGTTACATTAGATGAATTAATTATTAAGTGTATAATTCGTAAATATCTTGTTAGAATTCTACATAGGTTGAATAATTAATTAAATAATATCAAATACGTGACATTTATTTTTGTATGACCGATAGTAAAACAAATGTAATATGATATAAATGGTTTGAAGTTCGTGATTAAGCTTTGTCCATAATCTGGATAAAGCGTTTACCCTGATATAGAGCTAGCTATGATATAAGATCTTATTTTCTTTTGGGTTTCAGATAGGCTTTACTAACGAACTTCAATTAGCACAATACATGGGATGCTTCATTTTGACCACCTTCAAATAATTAGTGTCAATTAAAGTACATTGATACATAGAGTAAGGCAAGCTACTGGTTGCTTGATCAGAACACTGGTCAGTACAAAAAAGCTAAACAAAACCGAACCGAATAATATTAACCAATCAATCAGTATAAAGTTGAAGCTAGCTACAATTTTACTCTGCTGATAATTAGGTTGTATTATATACAATAATGTTTCGTTATATATATATATATATATATACATATATATATATATATATATATGCGCTAGTGATTGTTTCATTTATGATTTCTATATGTCCATAGTGAAGTTCACCTACACTCCAAGAATGACAAAAGCTTATGATGTGGGCTATTTCAAAACCTGTTCATTGAACAGTTATGGAGAAACAATGACAAAATGTAAAGGTAAATCTAAAGGTCAGGTTAATAATAATTATTTTTATTGTTTCATGAACCTTTAGTATTTTGTACATTGAATTTTGTGTAATTGTCAATCTACAAATGGATATAAAGTATTTATTTTATTGCTGAATATTTTAGAACTTTTAGTGACCCGAGATCTGACTCCAGTTATATCGTATGTTCGATTCCTGTCGAAATATATATATATATATATATATATATATATATATATCGTCAATCCTCGTATGCAATAATTGACTTAGATCGCTTTGGTGAATAAAGGAATTACATAAGTCGAATACGAGAATGGATGTTTGAATACATATATTTTGTACGCTCACTGATTTGAGCAGACAACCAGAGGGACGAAGCAGAGAGAAGAGAGGGAAGCAGAATGACGCGCGGTGAAGGCGTGTGAGCCACCTCCATTCAATTAAGCGTTAGTCAATATTTATAGTCACACAAAAATAAGCTACAGACATTTGATAATTAGATTAAGAAGTGTACACACATATGCGCTCATATAAAAACAGTCAGAATTGGTAAATAAATAATTAACAAGATCAAAATATGACTCAAATAGAATGGATAAATTGGACTAGAATAAGTTATGTGAGCTTAACATAGTAACCGACACTGCAAGCTCACTAAATAATAAAGCCAATTCAATAAAACTTTCATTCATTACTCGCCAGTAGTACACAACTCTGTCCTAAGTCTTTTTACTGTAATTTCAGGAATTAATTTATTATAATTGATAAATAATCCTAGCAAAGTATACAAGCATTAATCAAAGGCTCATAACTGATATAATGTGATGATTATGAGTATTTGAATTATTGTACGAATTAGTAGTCCCAGAAATAACGCAATTTAACCCAGAAGAACTAGATGAGCACGAAAAACGTATTTTATTTGGAATTCGAAACCAAGCAGTTATCAAGTACAAGGAAATCGTTAGTTCATACAAACACCATGTATAGTCAAAAGTTAACTGAACTAAAGAACAGAATATGTTTTGTATATGTATGACATAATATAACGCAAAGCAAAGTATTTATAGATGCTTCGGAAAATTTAGCTTACTTATTCAGTAACTTTCTCAATTATATCTATAAAGTCGGTTAACTGGGAACAACAAACAACTTTACATAAACATGTCAATCCAGGTTGTCAAAGTTCATATCTTCTTTTCAAGCGAAGAAATTGGCAAGAGCCAACACCGTTGTGATAAAAAAACTGAACATGGAAATATAGTTTGACAACAACAGATGAAACTACAAAACGCACAATATAGGACAGAATTATGTTCTTACGTCTTTGCTGTCCCTACTAAAAGCAAGTATGTTAACTCAGTTACCGTATATAACCAATGATCAATAGCCCGTCCAAAGTTCTCACTTATCCCCATACCGGTACGAAATGTCCGCCCAGTGCTTCCAAGGTTTTAATGATAGTCTAACGTTAATCGATTCATGATCTCGATTAAATTATTTGTTTAATGGATATATATGATAAATAAACAGATAGATAGACAAAGAATTAATTAATTTTACATTTCTGTTGTTGACTTGCAGATATTATAATCTAGTAATTTCAAGCGAAAGATAAAGTCGATTTTTGAAAATTATCATTGTTTTTATCTATTCAAGGACTCTTCGGTTTTGAAATCAGAAGATAACATTTTCATTGGTTCCGATGACAGTTAACCCTAAATATAAGTTTCATACTAGTTAGCATGCATTAGGAAAGTGTACCTGAATGTATCATCAATTCCTCCGAAAATTGGTGATATGACTTAGTAATAAGTGTTAACTAGCTCAAAATCTTGGTTTATAGTACTCTATTAATTAAGTCTAGCAACAACATAATGTCAATCTACTTAGATACATTACAACTTGACCAGTTAGACAAACATCCTATTGGTTATTACTCAGTGATTAAACAATATAAAAGTTTATATTTTGTATATTTTCATTATAACAACAAATTTATAATAGGATACTTTAATTCAATCTTTACTTCAGATGTAAATATACAACTTTCAACAAACTACTGTACATTTCCAATAACACAAATTGGTGAATTGCAACATCAGATAGTGAATATAATAAATCATTCAGACTGTTCAACAGTCTATGAATTATTAACTGGTCAATCAAAAATTTATACAAATAAAAATGATCAATCATGTACTATTGTATCTACAGTATTTCCCATAATAAAAGGTTTATCAAATGGTATCATTAAATCAAAAGAAACACTACAATTGATTATTGGCTTTTGTCCACAAGTAGCAGGTCATTTTTATCGTCGATTTACTTTGTTAGTCTGTAATCAAGTATGTACTTTTATTATTATTATTATTATTATTATTATTATTATTATTATTATTATTATTATTATTATTTGGTTATGAGGCGCCCATAATGTTTAACAGTGGAATATTGATTTTAAAGACTGATAAATGCTCAACGATATTAAGTGTGTCTATTAGTACACTCAAATGCCCTGGTACAGCCGATAGCGGGGAGAGTCAGCTCTCCCCTTCGAAATGCTCTCATATGGCCACTTGCATACAACCACTGACAAGGAAGTCCTACTCACGGCTTTCTCGCGGCACTACTGTTGTTTACGAAAATGAGAGGTCAAAAAGTGAATGTACGGCGTTTTAGACGGGTTGGTATATATGGAAGATTCACCTAGGGGAGTTGGACAACCCTGATTCAAAATCAATCGTGCACATGGGATCCAGGGTCTTGAGAGAACAAATGGCGTATGAACCAATCGTTGATCACCAGCTATCATGGGACTGCATCTCCTGACGTTGCTCAACGGCCTTGTAAATCAGACTTTAGGTCAAAGGCTCCGGGTGTGACCCACTAAGAAAACTAGCTGCGTCGGTTTACTTCTTGGTTCGGTTAGTAAATTTATGCGTGAATCAGTAATATTCCTAGAGTACTAAGTTGCTATTTTATTACTGCTTTTTTTCATAGCTTACTTTACATTTTAAGCAAAGACAGATGGTGACTAGCAGCGGAATTAAAGACGCACGTTTCGTCGCATTTTGGACTCGGCAGTTTTATGTTTATTTATCCTAGAGTTGATGTTCACTGCGACACTCGAATCCAGTGACGTTATCTTCAATTGTCATCGTATTATCTACTAAGCTACTGAGTCCAGATAGCCGCTTGCTTGTGCAATGATGTGAAGTTTAAATTCATTTTGTATTGGATGTTTATACCTTTCCACCGATATTTATGACTGCAATCGATCAGTCTGTTGTTGGTATATGTGCATCTTAAGCGGATTGCCCCGATATTGCTTTAAGTCACAAGTTTTTGTTGGTCAATGTGATCGACTTTGAGTAACAAATCTGAAGGATAAACGTTATCGCGCAAGACTGACGGCCCTAGGTTCAAATCCTGTGTGCGGGATTGTGGATGCACACTACTGAGGAGTCCCATACTAGAACGAAACGGCCGTCAAGTGCTTCCAGGTTTTCCATGATTGTCTAGCTTTAATCGATTCATGAATTCAAACATAGAGTCTAAGGTATTCAATCATTAGCACTATGTACACCACAAATTTTTAATGGGTAGTTATCGCATAAATCTCATGATCATTGTCTCTATTATAATCATTGATCTTGATTAACTGAAGTATAATAAGATAATCATTAACCTATTAATCCATACATTTCGTTTTTCTTTCAAAAAAAACATTTTTAAACATCTACTGTCAATAGATCTAAAGGCCATTAGGATAGTGACTCTACATAGAAGTTCAAGTACTAGTTAAATCTGCTTTTTAATTGCTCTATTGGTCTGATACATCTAGAAACTTTTATACCATCGAATTCCTTCACTTGACATTTTATCCTCTTAATGTGTTAATTTAAAGTTTCATAATTCCAGCCGATGTAACCAATGTAAAATATTCTTCAAGGCCGCTGGATTTATTTATATTTCACCTGTACAAACCATTCAACTTACTTACACCTTTTACTCCATCAGCACCCTCAGTTCTACCCTGCCTGGGCAATACTTTCCAGTTCTTTCTAGTTACTATTCATCCTTTTCATATCTGATTCTATTTCCCGACGTAATGTGTTCTTTGGCCTCACACTTTCCTGCTTCTCTTCAGGATTACAAGTCAGAGCTTACCTCGTGATGCAGTTTGATGATTTGCGTAATGTATGTCCTGTCCATTTCAATAGTTTTTTCCTAATTTCTTCTTCAGCTGGAAGTTGGTTTGTTCTCTCCCACAGAAGGGTGTTGCTGATAGTATCCGGTCAACGGATGTTGAGTATCTTGTGTAGACAAATGCTGATAAATAACTGTACATTTTTGATGATGGTTGTTGTAGTTCTCCAAGTTTCAGCCCCCTTACAGTAGGACTGTCTTGACGTTCGTATTGAAAATTCTGACTTTGGTATTGGTTGAAAGTTGTTTGGAGTTCCATATGTTCTTCAATTGTAGGAATGTGGCCCTTGCTTTGCTAATCCTCACTTTTACGTCTGCGTTCATATCCTCCTTGTTCATCGATGATGCTTTCAAGGTACGTGAGGGATTCTACATCTTCCAAGGTTTCTCCATCAAGTGTGACTGGGTTGTTCTCCGTGTTGTATGTGAGAAACTTGGTTTTTCATTTTTGTATGTTAAGGTCTATTGATGCAGATGCTTCTGCTACACTAGTTATCCCCGATTGCATTTGTTGGTGTGTATAGAATGGCAGAGCTAGATGATCTGCAAAGTCCAAATATTATAATTGATTCCGAACTGTTTCTTTAATTTGTTTAATCTGGTTGGCGTTTTTTCTAGCAAGATTTTCTTCTACGGGATGTGGTTACCAACTTCATGCCCCTCCCTTCTCCTTTGGGTGGGTTTAGGACCTGCAGTAACTATAGGAGAGCTACAGGTGGGTTTAAGTTACTAATCTTTACTAAAAGATGATCACTGAACCATTTTCAGTCAGATACCATATTTCAGAACTTATCATATCATTTATGAATTAACATTGTTAACTGAATTGTTGTTTTTCTTTTGTGTGTGTGTGTGTGTGCAATTTACAATGAATAAATTTCAAAGAAACCACAATTTTTGCATTTACTTGGTACTTGTCATGATTTAATTGAAAGACCACCTCATTTAAAACCAAAACATTTAATGAATATGGAATTATGTAATCAACAATTGGACAATCAAATAGATGTAAGTTTGTTTAATTTAATTATTATAAGCCTATTTCTAATTGATTTCATGGTCAATCGAAAGCATAAACTTATTTAGTTAACATGGAACTAATATCATTTAAGTGTTCTTGTGTAAACTGATTTAATCTTTAGATGGTGTTTTTCATATATTGACCTAAAAATGGGGTACTATTGAAGACTAGGCAGTATTGGAAAAGTGTTTTGTCATATGGACGAACTCTTATATATTAAACATTTACGACTCCAGTAGATATTCAACTCAGGATTTTCATGTCTTCTGATGTGTGTTTAAACTCTCAACCGTTGTTGCTACCTTGTTGTGGTGGTCGAGGTTGCCTATCGTGATGAAGCGATTGAACTATACTGACTGTAACAATCGTTTCTCACGGTCCTACCATGTCAGACAGGTCGGTTGAAGAAGTACTGCTGACTGTAAGGAAGTGTTGTGGCAGTAATGTGTTTCCTTCAAACAACCCGCATGACAGCGATGCTGCCTTCCCATAAGGAGAGGTGAGGTTAGAAAGGGTCGATCCTAAAGATGCACACCTTACCTTAATCCCACGGATATCCGTCTCCGGCAGTAAGGTTTCAACAAGTACGGAGCTAACACGAAAATTACTCACAAATAGGTCGTGTGTGACCGACCTGAAGCAGTTGTCCTTTGGGCACTGCAGTCACGCTCGCAGGTTACTAATAACACCCTTAACCCACTTTCCTATTCAGGTACCTTCAGAAGGACTTTTCCACGGTGTGGGCAATAGAAATGTGATAACTGCCCTCATACCTCTAACTGCACTCATGACCACTGACTGTGTTTAAACATTAAACCACTGGTTGGTATTCAATGGTATACACTTTCAAACTCAATATATTCGTGATATGGGACGAAGTCATCTAATCCTAGTAGTGAAAACTGTTTTACTACTGATATGTTTGTCCAGTACAACCTGATTTCAATTGTACCCTAACAGTGTCCAATTTAATCTTGATGTGATGGTTTAGCTTGCCTAACGCGATTACTATATCAAAGCAGATTAGTTTAAATAAATATTAGGTAGGACGGGTATGTAGCACATGGATTATCGACCCCTGAATGTACGGTACTGAGGTTAGATTTGAAAGTATGATGTTAATATCAGCCTCATGGTTCTGTTCTCTAAACTCTATGTTGATCCATTAAGATCAAAACAATCATCATCATTAATTCAGATTATTTTCTAGACTTCTCAAGGGAAATAATCATACTACATCTCATACATAATGGATAAAATATGGCTTGAAGCAGAATCCGAGATGTACGTTTTGTCCTAGTTGGGACTCGTCAGTTGGATATACCAACACAATGGAATAATCCAAACCATTAAAAAACTAGTATGAAATTCTACTACAGTGTTAGCATCGAGAAAATTTTCATCATTCATATATCTTCATCAATAGTTGATTACTTCTCATTCACTATCGACATCTTTCCTGTAATATATTTTATAGTCCATGATAATTCAGTATCATTCACTCGATGACGTTTAGAACATAATCCATTGTTTATATTTATACAGTATTAACACGATATTATATCTCGGATATTTATCTTTTATAGCATAATTAAGGCAGTGTGTCACTTAACTTTTAATCTTCCAACTGCCTGAAACATAACCCTTAATTTGGATAATGTAATAATCATGAGATTATCAAAGTTATATGATGTATTAGCACAATACATTTCGAACAATCTGATCACATGTATACATGGACGTTTGACTCAATTTTGTGGATTGGTTGAAGTTAGACATTAACAACGTCGGATGCAGGCTTGGTGGTCCGGAGGTTAAGCACTCGCACGCGAGACTGATAGGTCTTGGGTTTGAATCTCATGAGGTGGTATCGTGGATGCGCACTGCTGAGGAGTCCCACACTAGGACAAAACGGCTGTCCAGGTTTTCCATGGTAATTTAGCTTCAATCGATTCATCATCTCAACTATTAAAATCACTGTAATATACACAAAACCCCTTCTGATACATATATACTTTTTAAGAAAGTTTATATCTGAAAAAATAAAAGGTCAATAATACAAATAGAAGGTAAGAAGACAAGAAGTTAATGAAGGAAATGATTTGAAAAAGCAATATGAAACTTAGTATAATGAACGATTGAATTATATATTACCAGCGTGGGTTGAGCGTGAGAACAGACTGTTTTTTTAATAATATAAAAATGGTATGGATTTTCGCATGATCAAGGATTCAGCATATCTTTGTGTATACCTTAGACAACTTTAGTACAAAAATATAAATAAAGCAAGAACGAAGATTGGTGCAGATGTCGATATTCTATGTCTCCCTGTACAATCATTTAAGTCACTGATTCGCCTGGTGTCAATACGCTACAGAATATCGAGAGCTACACCAATATTCATTCTTACTCTTTTTAAGATAATAAAAGGGAACTGTGCATGAAAAATATAAATGTTGAATGAAGAGAGAAGTTTTCTAATCTTTTAACAATAGAGAAAGAGAAAGAGAAAGAAACGGATGTTTGTCATCTGACAAAATGCAGAGTCTTCTGGTAGCACTAAGCAACAATGCCAGATTGTTTGGGATGCGCTTCTCTCCCTCTAAATGCAAGTTGTTGCTTCAGGACTGGTCTCCGTCAACACCTGAACTAAGGATAAGGAGTGAAGTAGTCGAACGCGTTGACAACTTCACTTATCTTGGAAGTCTGATCAGCCCTAATGGGTTGGTGTCTGACGAAATCTCATCACGGATTCGAAAAGCTCGTTTGGCTTTTGCCAATTTACGTCACCTTTGGCGAAGGCGAGATATCCGTCTATCAATAAAAGGACGAGTATACTGCGCGGCAGTTCGTTCTGTTTTACTTTACGGCAGCGAAACATGGCCCTTAAGAGTAGAAGACACCCGTAAGCTACTAGCATTTGACCACAGATGCCTTAGAAATATTGCTGGTATCTGCTGGGATCACCGGGTAAGTAATAGTGAGGTTAGACGCAGGGTATTAGGTAATGATGGTAAATCAGTTGATGAGGTTATGAATCTTCATCGACTGAGATGGTTGGGCCACGTGTTACGTATGCCTGAACACCGATTACCACGACGTGCAATGCTAACCGGGGTAGGGGATGGTTGGAAGAAAGTTAGGGGCGGCCAAACCAAAACGTGGTATCAGTGCTTGGAGTCACTAACTTCTAGTCTGAGCCATGTTGGTAGATGCAGACTACTTGGTTGGGGTCCGCGTGACTATCGTAACCAATGGTTGGAGACTCTTGGTGACATGGCTCAGAATCGATCACAATGGCGTCGGTGTATACACTCCCTGTCTTCCCTTAAACCAAGAGACTAAAATCACTTCATTCTTTCTTCCTATACTATATCCTTATTGCAACCTTTGACCCAACCACTCCTATGAATCCGGTGTTCATCTTGCTGTGCTAATGAGGTATGGCAACCTGGACCGATGCACATATGTGCCTGGTCCTACGTTGTAGCTGACGTAGCTTCTTAAAGTTATTAACAAAATCATCTTGAAGAAATAATAGGAGTATCCAATCTTTAACAGGGTGTTAAAGTGTCTATAATGATAATAATATTTTAGTCAGTCTAATCCCTTTAATGGTGGTATTATTCTAAATGATATCTACAAGTTGACTTTTCTCATTGTTTTATAGGTATTTCAGAAAGATGATGATAATCATCAAAATGGCTATGAGATTTATTCTGAAATGATGCAATCATCAGAAATCATGGTGAGTAATATTGAAAAAAAAATTGATTTTGAGGTTAATTGATTGCATATATGTGTGCTCTTATTAAAATGGTGGTTGAAGTTAGTCAACAGGAAACTGTGGACCTAGATTTTGTGCTACTTGACACTCGTCAGTAAGGTGTACCTGTAATCTTGAAGGAACTGATGCTTTCTGACGGATTTGATCCTGTGTCACTCGGCTTCACAGTTAAAGACGTTACTACTGAGCTATCCAGGTTGATCTGCGCTAAGAAGGACCTGGCATATATGACAATGATCACCACTCAGTGATCAATCAATTGTAAGTGCTCTTAATAAGCTATTCTTACAATGTTGAACTTCATTTTAAGAAAACTAATTTACGATCATGATTACTGTGAACTTATTAGATTAAACTGAACATGTATGTTTGTCAGTTTTAAAATACCATACTATACGTAACAAGTTTAAAAAGTAGGCAACCATTCTAAATGATTACTTAAAATCTATATGCACACTATGTACTGCAAGTTGCTGAGATCTTATCTAAGCTCAAAATCAACCATGAAAATTTTCAAATAGTATGAACCAACTCAAAGGTGTTATTTAAGTATTTGATTGAGATCATGAAGAGATTTATGTTAGACCACCGTTGAAAACCTGGAAGCATTGGACGGCCGTTTCGTCCTAATGAGTTGAAATCTCGCGAGTGGGATCGTGGATAATGCACTACTGAGGAGTCGCACAATAGGACGAAATGACCATCCAGTACTTCCAAGTTTTCAATGGTGGTCTAACATCAATCAATTCATGATTTCAATCAAAAACTTAACAACTGCCACAATTCCCATCCTGTTATTCAAATAGTTAAGAGAATGGACATATTCTTCTAATATATAAGATTATCACAACATTGTCTTACTGCTTGACTCCTTTTCTTCGCGGTTGTTTTTTTTCCCTAAACATAGATTAATCCACCGCTATTATCCTTAAATTATACAACTTGGGATTTCACTTCAAATTCAGATTTGTTATCTAAGGCATTATTATGTGCAGAACAATTAAACAAATCAATCAATCAAGGTTTAGAATTAAATCTTGAACATTTAGCTATACGAAATACATTAATTGTACAAAACTTTACCAATCATGTAATGCTAATTCATTGGTCACTAAATAAACAAATCAATTTCAATCATCAAGTCAATGGTTATAATGAATATGAAGCGAAAATAAACAGTTTTAGAATTGAACCAATATCAAAAGAACTTGCACCAAATAGTTCAACAGAATTCACTATGCTGTTTACACCAGTAAGTCATTAATGTTCAATAATATATAAAATCAGTATAGTGGTTATAGAGGTTGTCACGTTTTTGATTGAGATCATGAACTGAATGATGTTAGACCATCAATGAATACCTGGAAGCACTGGACGGCCGTTTCAATAGACTAAGCGTTCGCGCGCAAGACTGAAGGCCCTGGGTTCGAATCCTGCGGGGGGCGGGATCGTGGATGCGCACTGCTGAGGAGTCCCACAATAGGACGAAACGGCCATTCAGTGCTTCAAGGTTTTCAATAGTGGTCTAACATCAATCGGTTCATGATCTCAACCAAAAAAATGTATAATGTTTTATATTTTACTATTAATCTAGGTATAATACTCAATTCAATTGCTTTTGAACAAATAAAAGTATTTCAAAATCCTTTATTCTATACTGAAATCATTCCAACGAGTCCTAAATAGAACGAAACATGCGTCGAACTGGATTCCACTGCTAGCCACTATCAGTCTCTGCTTATAAAGCTTGTGAATTACGGCAATATCGAAGCAATACGCACAGGTTGCACATAGGCCGCCAATAAAAGACTGATCAATCGCGGTTTTAAATATCAGTGGGAAGATCCTAGTAAATAATATCAAGTGAATCTTTCTAATAGTTTTTCTCATTATTCTTGACTACATGTAAAATTTGAAGATAATAGCATCAGTGTAACTCATTGTGTATGTGGAGCATTTTCTTCTTCATGACCAGAGTATACCAGTAGCTCCTCTGAAGCTAGTCTTTGTTACCCAACCTGCATCCAATTTATTTCACTGATTCCAAGCACCTCCAGGTTGCATATCCTCATTTGTGCAGCAATTTTTATGACTCTCTCGGTCTCCCACACTTTACGAGAATTCCATGTACCTAAATTAATGGTTGCTATGGTTGTCAGAAGGGGCATCTACCTCGTGACTTCCGAAGGAACACGGGTTTTACCATGAGGCGTCACAACTCTTCTAAATGAAGATCTTCTAACTCCCAGGGAAAAGTTTGAATCGTTTGAATTATTTTTCATGGTTAGCATTTTTTAGCGAGTTAGTTTTCTACGGGGTTGGGTCGCTAATCTCATCCTTTACCCTCCTTCTTTATCTGGGCTTGGGACCGGAAGTAGATACAGAGGGACTCCAGGCGGAGTTAGAATTTAAAGATCCTGAAACAAATTTATTTCACTAATGTTATTACGTTATTCAATTATGCAATGAGGAAATGAAATTACAAGTTTTTAAGTTGATTAGAATACATATTATGGGTAGTGAACTACCGCTTTAATGTTCTCTAACGTAAACTTACCTGTAAGTAAACAATCGAAGTAAAACATGTAACTAATCCATTGAGGATTGTTCTAAACAATGTAAGATAGTGTAGACTATCTAGATGAAATAGATGTGATAAATTTGAGTGACATCGTTCAAGTTTTAATAGAGTAGATGTATTCACAGTTTATCGTGCTCGTAGTCTTTAATTTCAATATTAGTTCGTACCTAATGTTACTTACTTACTTACACCTGTTAATCCTAATAGAGAATAGACCACCGGCCACCATTCTCCGATCCCCTCTGTCCTTGGCCTTCCTTTCTAGTTCTATCCAATTTTTGTTCATTCTTATCATGTCTGCCTCCATTTCTCGGCGTAATGTGTTCTTTGGTCTTCCTCGTCTCCTTTGGCGTTGAGGGTTCCATGTGAGAGCTTGCCTTGTGACGCAGTGAGGTGCTTTCTGCAGTATGTGTCCTATCGACTTTCAACACTTCCTCCTGGTTTCTTCCTCCACTGGAATTTGGTTTGTCCTCTCCCACAGTGTATTGTTGCTGATAGTGTCTGACCAACGGATCCGAAGTATTTTACGTAGACAACGCCTACCTACTATTACTCGAATTTATTTCTTCTTTTTGAATTGAATTCCATCCCTCATTTCTCTTACTGTAATAGAAATTACAATTAAGAGAACATTTAAAGTTTAATTATTATGTTTTATTTTAGGCTAATATATGCCAGTACTACTATCAAGAATTTGAAGGATTTGCTATGTACAAAAATCAAAGAGATATTAGTTTGATTAGTTCAGAAAAGATAAAACCACCTCATTGTTTATTGGTCAATTGTTATGGTATGTTAAGTCAGATTGTTTATTGATATATAAAATATACATATGATCAGTTCATAATATACGTAGTCCTCCAGGTTGTTCGAATGATACTATTTCACTTAGTTAAATGTAAGTCATACGAAGAAAGCCGGTGTTATAATTCTCTCTTTTAATACAACCCAGTTATTCCTATTGCTTTATATTCTCGGATATCAATTCACTCGACAAGTCCTCCAAACCAGAACACAGTTGAACAGGAAAAGAGATTATATTCCAAATAACAAGGTTAGATGGAAGTAAGAAGTACAATAGGAAGAACGTTAGTATATTTATAGTTTTTTACATGAGAAGATTTCTAGAGTATACTCCAAGTATCGACTAGTGCTGATTGGATAAGAATTAGCCAATCAGCGTGCAGCAAAGCAATGGTGCATTGAGCATGCTTCAATCCAGTCTATGTCCCGCTAACGGCCGGAAATGTTTCATACTAAGTTCTTTTTATAACTATTCTAAATGATCCAAGTCGTATATCATTCAGTGAATTACAAAGGTTTCTATATATTCATCATAATCAAACTTAAATCTATACTAACTATATAGTTTTGAAGTATTGTATATACTTGAAAAGCTTTGGTTTTGTGTGTTCAATATGACATAATTTATTGTTTGATAAAATCCATTGTGTGTTGTGTCCGACTTTTTATTAAGTAATTTATTCGCCGATCTATATACGACTTATTCACTCTTGTAATGTAGTAACCAATAACGTTCGACCGGTATGAGCAGCATAGCTTCATTATGGGTCCTTTGCTCGCCCAATTCGTCCAGTTGAGGACAGAATGCCAATAACAGCTTCTACTACTATATGAATCATTTATTTCAAAAAATACTTGGTTTATATACCAACTAAACAGACGGCATCACACCATTAAATAGGAAATAACATTTATACAAGATCAAGTCAAACAGTTGCTGTGGGAGTGATTGTGGTGAGACTTTGATCAATAAACTGAGTATAATTGAAGAACAGTAAATCGTATCATAATAGTCTGTAATTCAAAATGAAGCTTATAATAAGAGGAATATGAATATACATAATCTAATTACTGAATAGTTATACAATAAGAAGATATATAAATAATATCAGTTCGTTAATAGATCTCAGAAGTTACCGGTAATTAAATCTTCATTAGGATATAACATTATAGAACTTGCTATTCTTCCTGAATATGCATGTTTGATCTACAATAAATCTTTTATGCTTGAGCTGATAGTATTTAGATTGATCCCAATTACTGATGAGTACATTACATGTTCATTAATACAATGTCAAATTCAACGTTAGTACCAAGAATATATCTGTCCTGGGCCTTCCCTTCTAGTTCCATCCAATTCTTGTTCATTCTTCTCATGTCTATCTCCATTTCTCGGCGTAATGTGTTCTTTGGTCTTCCTCTTTTCCTTTGACCTACCAAGAATATATTCAACTATAAATGTAAATATAAACATTTTTAGTGTTTTAGGAATGCAGCTAATCAAGTTACTTAAGTTAGTTAGACTCTATAAAATATGAAAATTAATTTAATTCATCGGAATTTTATGGATTCTTCTTATTGGTCTCTCAATTATGTACACTGAAATGAACTTTTATTCAGCAAATATATATATATATATATATATTAATAGTTGAATTCATGAGTCAATGTAAGCTAGACTATCATGGAAAACCTAAAAGCAATGGATGACCGTTTCATCCTAGTATGGGACTTCCCAGCAGTGTTTATCCACGATCCTGCACGCTGGACTCGATCCCAGCACCTTTGATTTGGCACGTGAACGCCTAGGCTTTAGACTATTGAACCAACCGGCATCTAAAGGTGTTAATGTCTAGCTTCAGCTAATCCACAAGGTTGAATCACCGTCCATCGTTGTCATCGGTGAGTTACTATCTCACAACGGACCTGGCTGAACTCCACATGTCACGGCTTTTCACTAGAACCCCAGGAAATACCTCTTGGAGACGGTCACTAGTGAGCATATGATGATTCTAACCAGAGAAGGGTTATTGTGGGTATTATAGTAATTTAATTGTTGAATTCATTAGTCAGTCGAAGCGAGACTACCATAGAAAACTTGGTTACTCCACAGCAGTGCTTATCCACGATCCCGCCTAGCGAGATTCGAACCCAGGACCTATCATTCTCGCGCGTAAGCGCTTAGCCACTAGGCCACTGAATCGACATTCACTGGTGTTAATGTCTAACTCCCATCGATCGGTGAATGGCTCCTCAACCGTCCAATGATTCCATGGTGGTCTAACTTATATCAACTCATGAATTCAACCATTAATTAATTACTTTATTTATTTAAACACATAAATATTGGTACAAGGAGGCACCCAACAGATATGCGCCACATAAATCATTCGACTTATGTGAGCGCTGGATATTACCCGGTTGCCCAAACCAAAGTAGGTGGTTTTCTTAGGGGCCACACCCGGAGCCCTCGACCTAAAAGGTCCACTCCACAAGGCAGTGGAGCAACGTCAGGAGATGCAGTCCCATGGTAGCCGGTGACCAACAATAGACTCATACGCCATTTTTTCCTTCAGGACACTAGAACCAATGTGCACCATTGGTTTGGAATGAGAGTTTTTCAACTCCTCTATGTAGACTATCCATGTCTACCAACCCGGTTAAAGCACCGGACATTCGCTTTTCGTCCTCTCAGTTTCGTGAACAACACCCCCGCCACGAGAAGGCAATGAGTAGGACTTCGCTGGTAGAGGCTATATACGCGTGGCCATGTGAGAGAATTTCGAGAGGGAGAACTGACTCTCCAACTCTCGGACGTACCAGGGCATTTGGGGGCAATCTTAATTGTGTACAAGCCATTAGAGTGAACATGAAATGAGAATGTAACTCATTGATAACACTTGATGCAAACATCCTGATCATCGAACTTTGACTCATTAACTTAATATTATCTTTCAAACCACAATACTTGAGGATCTTGATCTTCGATTCAAATATAGCATTACGCGATAGTTTGTAATGCCGAAAAGATTGTATTTAAAATCAAAGTACCCGTTTATTTTTCCATAATTATCAATTATGTGAATGAGAATACAAATGAGGACAACCAAATGTATTTGAATACAAAACTACAAAATATCTTAGTAAAATTTAAGAACCATACAGTAAACACTTCATTTGAAAAATGTCAATCAATCATCTCAAACTTTGTTGTTCCTTCATTTACACAACAATGATTCTTTGTTCTCGTTCACTTTTCTTTAATCTTCTTAACCCTCTCTGCCACCAGATATTTCACTTTCAACTAATGATGAATGATATGGCTCAAAATCGTTTGTAATGGCGCAGGTGCATCCAATCTTTGTGCTCTCCCATATTCTGATCTTCTAAATTCTTCATGTCCCTTATTTTCTTTCCAAATTTATTTCACTGTATTATACTCCTTGAATGACATCTTCAAATCTTAATCTTTTCAATTACGGCTTATACTCTTACTACCTCTATAACTATAGGATCTTAATTGACAATGGTATCTCTGTGGTAATGTGGTGTGGCAACTCGAACTGATGTATGTACGTACGTACGAAGTTCTACGTTGTTGACTGACTGACTGATTGATGATATATACTACTTATATCTATCGACATCAGTAGCACACATCATACATTAACTTTCTATCTAATTTCAACTTATGATGTTACCTACTGATGCTTTCATTATCAGCTAAACCAATAAATCCGCGGATGAGCACCAGTTCCCTCAAGATTACAGGTACACCTTGCTGACGAGTGCCAAGTAGCACGAAACCCGGGTCCAGGGTTTCCTGTTGACTACCTCCAACTACCATCTAAATCTCAATACATAGTGCCCTCAGTGTCGAGTCACCTAGACTGGTGACCAAATTGCAACATGATCGATAGCATTCGATCTGCACTAAATAAGGACTTGACATGCATGACATTGATCACCACCCAGTGATCAATCAATTGTGATTACATCTCAGTCCTACAGGAGGTTAGTCACGGCTCGGATAGCTCAGTGGTAACGTCTCTGACTGTGAAGCTGGGTGACACGGGATCGAATCGGCCAGGGAGCACCAGTTCCCTCAAGATTACAGGTACAAATTGCTGACGAGTGCCAAGTAGCACGAAACCCGGGTCCAGGGTTTCCTGTTGACTACCTCCAACCACCATCTAAATAATTACTATAAAGCATAGCAATTGTAATAAATTCCCCTGATTCACCTGTTGTTTTTTTATTGTTGTCTCTATTGTTTTCCTTTTTCTAATTTACAGGTCATACATTCCCTGGTGATAAACAATCATTTACACCTTATTATGAAATAAATAAATCGACAATTATATTTGATCCAATTGAATATTGTGAAAATAAATTTGATTCAATCTCATTATATAATAAAAGTGAATATCCATTATTATTACAACATAAAAATCTTAAGAAATGTTTGAATTACGAAAATTTCGACGAGTAAGCTCTCCCTCCCTCCTTCCCCCTTTCCTTCCTCCCTCCCCTTTCTCTCTCTCTCTCCCTAAGCAACAATAAAAATATTTTAATTTGATTGAATAAATTTGAAAATAAAAATAAGTAAATTTCTATACACTTTATCCGGACCGTTGTTGCTACCTTGACGTGGTGGTCGGGCTTGCCTATCGTGATGAACAAATCGAACTATACTGAATGGAACAATCGTTCCTCACGGTCCTACCATGTCAGATAGGTCGGTTGAAGAACAGTAAGATTAAAAGCAACAAACCCAAGGTCCGATGGCGAAGTCGTACTGCTTACTGTACAGAAGTGTGGTGGCAGTAATGTGTTTCCTTCAAACAACCAGCATGACAGCGACGCTTCCTTTACACAAGGAGGGGTGAAGTTAGAAAGGGTTGACTCTAAAAATGTACACCTCGCCTTATCCCACGGATATCCGTCTCCGGCAGTAAGGTTTCAACAAGTACGGAACTAACACGAAAATGACTCATAAAAAGGTCGTGTGTGACCAACCTCAAGCAGTTGTCTCTTGGGCACTGTGGTCACGCTCTCAAGTCACCAAGACCACCTCTAATCCAATTTCTTTTTCAGGTACCTCCAGAAGAACCCTTCCACAGTGTGGGTAACTGGGCAGTGATAACTGCCCTCATACCTCTAACAGCACTCAAGACTGACTGACTATACACTTTGAATGGAGATCTAATTATTGATTCCACTGGAATTAAAGTAGTGTTGAGTAGTAAATAATCATTAAGTTAATCTATTTTATCATTAATGAAATACAATTTAGAGAGTCATGGTAAATGACATCTCAGTAATACACATTTATAATGTTACCATAAGTTAAAACTAGAGCCATTCAATTCTTTCATCTAAATCAATTACTATTCATGTATGTATTTTATCAAAAGAATTACAGAATAGTGCACTAAATTACAGGCATGATCAACTTGATACAAGAAGTTATTATAAGGATTTTGTTATTATGAAGCCAAGTTAACTGAATAATCAGAGGTGATAGCATTTTACAGTACAAGATTGTTATCAGAGTATACTCTATAAGTGCAATCAATCCAGTAAGCATTGAGGTGTCTTTAGTAGGCAATATGAGAAGAATATATATATATATACATTAAGAAAGTAGCATAGCTACGACTTTATGAATGTTTGAAATGACGAATAGACTGATAAATGTCAGAAATTCAATTTTCTATTCATACTTTTTTATGTTACTACATAGTAGTTAGTCAGTCAGTCAGTCGGTTATCATCAACAGAGAAGAACAAGTTTATCGTGTTTTGGAATAGAATAGTACGATAAAGAACTACTTCAGTCATGTAACAAGATATTTATAATTGTCTACAATTGTAGAGAAGAAAGCGAAAAGGACGGAAAAATTAAGAAATCATGCGATAGATTTATCATTGTTTATGTACTTGATTGTTTGATAATGTACTGATGGTACACATGGTCATGCATGATGTATACCAATGAGGAAATACAGTTATTCAGTCTTCATTAGTGAACAGCTTCAAATACCAACGTTAAAAAGTTAAGATGTTACCTTGAGTTAGCACAAAATTTACATCTACAGGAGTACTATTTGCAATAATATAATAAGAACGGTAGCAGGTGCAAAAATTACCCACTCCTAGCACGGGGAGGTAGTGACGAAAAATACGGATACAGGACTCAATTAAGGTTCCGTAATTCGATTGAGTACAATTTAAATCCTTTAACGAGGACCAATTAGAGGGCAAGTCCGTTGCCAGCAGCCGCGGTAACTTGCAATAATATCGTTTAACAACAAAAATTAAATGGTTTACATTACCAAGGTTTATTCAGTGATTTAGTTCATGCATACCCAATAGTATCGATGAGTTTATATTTCCCTCTCAATATGATCAACATATTAGATTGATGTATTTCACTAAGACGTTAGAATATTCATATACAGTAAAGTATTTACTATTCAATTGAATATTTCTAATGGTTTGTATAGATTTCAACACAAAAAGTCAAGTTAGTAAATCCTTTAATCACAATGAAATCATGTCTTAATAAAAGACTAGTAGGTACATTACAATTTGATCGAGAAAAAATTCAATCATTTGTAAATATCCTAGTTGTGCAAGAAGTTAGTCATGTCTCAATTAGCTCAATTTCAACATCTCTATCTGTGAAGCTTCAAGACACAAATTTGAATCCTATAGGGTGTATCAATCCTCTAAACATTTTAAGTATTATCAATTATAATGGTTGAGATCATGAATTAATCAAATCTTAACCATCATGGAAAACTTGGAAGCCCTAGACGGCCGTTTCGTCGTATTGTTGATGCCGGTTCAGTGGTCTAGAGCTTAAGCGAAAGTACACAAGAGCAATAGATCCTGGGTTGGAATCTCGAGGGGGGTGGGATCGTAGATGCGCACTGCTGAGGAGTTCCACAATAGGATGAAACGGCCGTCCAGTGCTTCCAGGTTTTCCATGATGGTCTAGCTTCAATGGACTGATGAATTTCACTATTAAATGACAATTTCTTCCTCATTATTCATTTGTACATCAATCAATATGTGAATTTCTTCTAATCTTACACTCATCATGATTTTGCTTTTGTTTGGTTATTTGTTTTAAATGTTAAGGAATATTTTAAATATTCAACTTATCCCTTCAATAACTTTAATTCCACCTAATTCATACAAAGTGATTGTGTTTCAATGTGAAACTAATCTATCCTATGCTGAAATCAAAAAAAAGATGGCAAGCAGAGAAGATAAAATTATACTCAAAGGACTTGAGATTGTGTCAATGAACCAACAACCAAAACATGAATGGGTAATTATCTTATATTATATATATAACAAGAGAGAGAGACTGTCTCAGTTATCAGACTTCTGTCGTCGATGACTACGACATTGAAGTGATTCTTGTAACAGCTTTTCTTTTAGACATTGTTCTTAATGAGAAAAAATGATGAATGGTGGTTAGCGGTGGAATCTAGGATGCACATTTCATTCTAGTTGTGACTAGTCAACTGGATGTATCTGAATCTCAGAGTTGATGTTCATTCCGGGATTCAGTGTATAAAAACTAAAGAATCGATATATTTGTTCACGATTGGTAAAGATCTATACAGTTGCTTATAATCGATGAAATATTACGTATCACTTATCATCGCTTCAAAAACAACAAACTGCCATAATTTCATCTTTTGAAGATCAATACTACTTCCACATTGTTTTGAATAGAACCTTCACCTGTATTAACTTATTGACTGAATACATTATTAAATATCGTTAAATTATCCCTAGCTCTGTCCTAATTTCATCGATCAACTTACAATATGATCATTAGTTTGAGTGATTTCATGTGACTAGTTTTCCCTAATTTAACTGTGAAGCTAAATGAGGCGGGTACAAGTCTTACAGAGATCAATTCAAACAAACAATAGAATGATTCTAACTATTATTGAAATATGAATTTCAAGTGTAAATGGAAAGTTTTGAATGAAACTAATAGATCAGTATGATATCTACAACCCTTTGCCTTCATTTACAAGCATCATAAGTAAAGGACTCAGTAGCTAAGTGAACAGTACTGGATTCGAGTCCCAGAGTGAACATCAACTCTGAGAGGCATGTAAACCCAGTTGACGAGTTTCAAATAGGATGAAACGCGCGTCCTGGATTCAACTACTGGCTACTATCTATATTTGCTTAATAAATCAATATATTTGTAATATCCTAATGAATAGAAGAATTAAATTTTCTGACGTTTTTTGACTCAGTGTAAACTACTTCTTGCGTTGTTCCTTTGTACTATTTAAGCTTGGATTAAATTTGATTTGGTTGTTTATTCTCTAAAGAAGTAGCTTACACTGAGTCATGAAACGTCAGAAAATAGAATTTCTACTTAGTTTCTAAAGTAAATAGATTTACTTAAATCCCATTTGTGATTTCTTACTTATGCGAATGTTATTCTTCTTATTGCTGAAAGCTCTATTCACTAGCACAGTGTTTAATTCTACATTGTTCCATCTTACTTAATTATTCTTGGTGAAACTATAATTTATAGACGACATTTGAGAGACACCAGATTGACCTTGAGAGTGTCCACTTAATAACCAGGACCACATGAGGGTTATTAACCTGTGTGAGGAATTAAAACTATGATTTACAGTTGATAATTAAGGTTAAGAATTATATTTAGGGTTTTCATCATGTACTGATATCAGCTATCATGCCATAACTCTATTTAACCTAATGGATGAGTGAATTTTGCCATAAAATCCGTGACCTGTTATCTTAAACCTGATTGTTTCGTCCATAAATTATATAGTGTCGCCATCATCATCAAATTTATATACTTGTTTTATGCATTAAAATTAACTTTTACATTTACCTATTTCAGAGAATCCCAATTGAAATCAGTTTTACCACAGCGAATATCATTTTAGAAAACGATGGTGAATTGTATTTTGTACCTACTCATGTAGGTGCATATACACAGAAGAAATTCAATATTACAAATGTCTCACCTTATAAAGTAGAGTAAGTTTTGATGAATGTTACTTAGTTACTTACTTACGGCTGTTACTCCTCATGAAGGGGAGCATAGACCGCTCACCAGCATTCTCCATCCAACCATGTTCTGGGGAATACTTTCCAGCTCTTTCCAAGTTGTTATTCATTCTTTTCATATCTGATTCTATTTCCCGACGTAATGTGTTCTTTGGCCTCACACTTTACCGCTTCCCTTCAGGATTCCAAGTTAGAGCTTACCTCGTGATGCAGTTTGATGATTCGCGTATTGTATATCCTATCTGTTTCCATCGTTTTTTCCTAATTTCGCCTTCAGCTGGAAGTTGGTTTGTTCTCTCCCACAGAAGGCTATTGCTGATGGTATCCGGCCAATGAATGTTGAGTATCTTGCGTAGTCAGCTATTTATAAATACTTGTACCTTTTTGATGGTGGTTGTAGTAGTTCTCCAAGTTTCAGCCCCCTTACAGTAGAACTGTCTTGATATTCTTTTTGAAGATTCTGACTTTGAAATTGGTTGAAAGTTGTTTTGAGTTCCATATGTTACCGATATTATTAGTTATTCATTTTGTAAGTTTATCAATTGAATCTATCATGAGTGTTAAAGATTCATGCAGATTAATTTGAATTTTGTATATTTAGTGACCTTATATCTGACTCCAGTTAGATCGTACGAATGATTGCTATTGAGATATACATGTCGTCAATCCTCGTATATAATCACTGACTTAACTCACGTTGGTGAATAATGGGATTGAATTAAGTCAAATACGAGAAGGGAGTTTTGAATACGCATATTTCGTACAATTGTTGATTGAGACAAACGTTCGAGTAAACGGAGCGAAGAGAAAAGAGTGAAGTGAAACGTTGCCCAGTGGAGGCGTATGAGCCAACTCGATTTAATCAAGCATTAATTGATATTTATAGCCAGAGAAAAATAGGTTACAGACATGTGATCAGTAGGATAAGAAGGGCACACACATAATACACCCATATAAAAACAGTCAAGGTTGATATGCGAGTAATTAACAAGGTCAAAATGTGACTTAAGTGGAATGAATAGATTGACCTGTCCAAAAGTTAGAATTAGTTATGTGGAGTTAACATAGTAACCGACACTACATGTAGTTTATAACACGAAATTAACTGATAGTTACCCTTTTAGAAACAATTGAAAAGGATTGCAAATTATTCAGAATGTATGGAGTATGTAAACCATTGAATAATAACTCAGTGGTTTAAAGGTTAAGAACTCATCTCTTGATCTAAAGGTCTTGATTTCGATTACCACAGGGGTCATGAATCTGTTCTACTTAGTAGCCCCATACTAGGAGGAACTATTCATCTAGTGTCCCGTCGTTTTTTTACAGTTTTCCTAATGAGGTTCGTTTATGATGACAATAAAGACATTTTAAGAGTTGAAGAAGAACTAAATTTGACAAATTCAGAATGATTGAGAGCATTCGAAGAGAAAGATAGAGAGAAAAAGTAACGAAAAGAAGACTTCTTTCCTTGTATTACCAGGTAAAAGCATCAGTATATCTTTCATTGCTTGAATAACAAAACTGATAGATTTTGTAATATTTATAAAAGAGAGATTAAAATACTAAATATTGACTCAGAATTCACTTGGTATTGTTTACTTGAATCTTCTTATTAATGTTTAGGACTGTAATTGATCAGTCTCTTATTGGCATATATGCATACTGTGAGTATTGTCTCAATGTTGCTTCCATTCGCAAGCATCATGAGCAAAGATGGATAGTAGCTAAATGAATAACGCGATGGCGTTTGAAGTGAACGGTACTGGGTTCGAGTCCCAGAGTTAAACATCAACTCTGAGATGCAGGTATATCCTGTTGACGAAACGTGCATCCCAGATTCTACTGTTGGCCACTATATCTATCTTTGCTTATAATTGACTCAGAATGTTTAGAATTGCTATCTTATCATAATACATAACTATCTTAGTATTACTTGTAGTGGAATTATTTTCTTTTTTTAAAGATTTTGTTGGGAAATTATTTCTGATGACAAAACTGAATTAGAAGTTCATCCGAATAAAGGATTTCTATTACCAAATGAAATACAAGTATGTAAATACTACTGATTTAACTTTCTTCAATGACATCTTATAATTTATTCATTTATTAATCGTTTCCTTTCAAAAGTCATGTAACTTTGCTCATTTTATTCATCTTCAGTATTTTCTTTTGTCTATGGAGATGTGGAAGTATAGAACTTCTCAGCAGTGCACGTCTACAGACCCGCACACGGGACTCGAACCTAAAAACTTTCGAACTTGCGCTCAAACACCTAACCTCTAGACCACTGATCCGACATACAACAGTGTTAATGTCTAACTTCAACCAATCCATGATATTGCGCTACCATCCACCATTGTTTTCAGTGAGCAAATGCCTCATAACAGACATGGTTGAACTCTACTTGTCACGGTTTCTCGCTAGAACTCCAGGAGTAATCTTTTGTGAAGTTAAGATCAAAACTTATCAAGGGAACTCATTTCATAAAAGATAATCATATCTCTCTTTTATTTGTAAAGAACTGGAATAACCACACTATTCAATTGTTTATTGAAATACTCTGGCGGAGCTTGTTACAATTAGCGCACAACTAAATAAATACATCATCGTATTTCTGAATATCATCACTCATGGTTGACCAAAGGACAATAGAAAATAACACTAAGCTCTATCTTAATGCATCTAGTCGATACTGGTCATCGTATAGATTAAAAGTTTAGCGTTTGAAATTATTCACACAATCTCACCGATTTTACCCTATAGTTCCAGAATCTGACTCTTACGCATAACAGAAGCCATAGGAATACACATCGAAAAACCTAACCTTAGTATACAGAAATAGCTTACGCTACCTTTGAATCTACCCTAACCTTCTACTTAGATACTATTACATGTTTCGAAACCTTTCTTTCCCTTTTCTTATTAATCTAATCTAATTTTCACTACACCCGCCTTACCAAGTACTTTCATAGATAATAATTTCAATTCCTATTTCTATTCTTATGTAACAACTTGTAATAATTAACTGATTGTAAAATTTCACCTTAGTTTTAGTTTTACTCTTTCAACCATTATGTAACTGATTGGTTATTATATTATTGAACTGACTCACCATTATTTAATTGGTATCGAATTGCTATTCACTTATAAGATATATATATATTGGTGTAGAGCCTGAAGCCCCTCTGGGGCTACTGCAGGTCTCAAGCCTAAATAAAAGAGGAGGGTTGAGCATGGAGTTAGCAACCTCAACCCGTAGAAAACTAACCCGCTAAAGAAAACACTAGCTAAAAAAACACTAGTTAGTGTAGAGCCTTGATAAAGAACTAATTCAAAGGAAAGTTAGGGTCTGCCAGACCAAAACATGGCATCAGTCCATAAAGTCACTAACCTCTAGTCTGAACCATGTTGATAGATGCAGACTACTTGGTTGGAGTCCGCGTGACTATCGTAATCAATGATTGAGATTGTGGATGACATGGCTCAGAATCGATCAAAATGGCGTAGGTGTATACACTCTCAATCTTCCCTTAAACTATAAGATTAAAATCGCTTCATATCTTTCTTTCTTCGAACTAATTCTTTCTTACTGTACTATATCCTTATATACAATCTTCATTTTATGTATAACCACCACTGAATAAGCTAGTTCTATGAATCTGTGTATTCATCTTGTTGTGCTAATGAGGTGTAGCAACTTGGACCAATGTATATATGTGCCTGGTCCTGTGTTGTAACTGACTGAATTAAAAGGAAATATTTGTTCGTTTAACTTGTTTTGATTCATACTAAATGAAAAATAGTATCTTAAATGTAATCACCCTAACTTTAACCTATAAAGTATATCACTATGATATCTCAATTATCTATTTTGTTTAATACCTATTTCTTTTTTTGGTTTCAGTCACAATTGTGGACATTTCATCCGACACAAGTTACTAATTGTGTATTTAAACCACGTCTTAGATATTGGAGATATAATCAATCCATTAACTATTCTAATAATCAAAAATTTAATGAATATTCATATGAAATAAAACAAAAAGAATTACGTGTCATCACTATGTCGGGAAATGCCCAATTATCGATTGATCCAGAGACAATTACTTGTCATCCATTATTAGTAAATACATCAGCAAGTTATAAGATCAATTTTCATAATCGTAGTATAGTAAGTAATATCATTAGGATTATCTACTTCATTTATTTACTTACTTACTTACTTACTTACGTCTGTTACTCCCAGTGGAGCATAGGCCACCGACCAGCATTCTCCAACCCACTCTCTCCTCGGCCTTCCTTTCTAATTCCTTCCAATTCATGTTCATTCTTCTCATGTATGTCTCCATTTCTAGGCGTAATGTGTTCTTTGATCTTGCTCTTCTCCTCATTTGGCCTTGAGGATTCCATGTGAGGGCTTACCTTGTGACGCAGTCGGATGCTTTCTTCAGTGTGTATCCTATCGACTTCCAACACTTCTTCATGATTTGTTCATCCACTGGGATTTGGTTTTTTCTCTCCTACAGTAGGTTGTTGCTGATGCTGTCTGACCAACGGATCTGAAGTATTTTGCCTGTGAAAGTGTTATTAAACACTTTTATTTTTTGAATGATAGCTTTCGTATTTCTCCAAGTTTCTGTCTTAAGATCATCTACCTGCCATATATATATTCATGAATTCCTCAGAGATCACAACTCATGTAAATAATACAATTACGACTTCATTCAAAGCAGCTCGTCCCCTATTCCCATTTACGAATCTCTTAAATTGAATTACTTTTCTTTTATTCAGATCACGAACCAATGTAAGTTGAACAGCTATTGAAAAACAAGAAGCATTGCACAATTGTTTTGTTGTAGTTTAATACTTCATAGTAGTGCATATCCACAATCCTACCAACGATCAAAATCAAGTACTTCATGTCTTCCGATGAACACTTTGCCTTTAGTCTATTCAAACGGCATCCAGTGCTTTTTGTTTTTTTGTTTTTTGAATCGTTATCTAACTTAGGTTTAGTTTGTAATCTCCATAACACTCAACAATCTTCATAAACCTTTATGCTTTACTTCTTTATAAAAAAATTTTCTCTTACAGATATCAACTTATTTCTGTACAATAATTAAGCCATTGTATCATGAGAGTAATCAGAATTTAAAGTTGGATGAATTTATTACGGTAAACACTAGTGATAATCTGATTAGTGGTCATTCAACTAAATCAATTACAATCAATATTTGCCCAAAATCAAAAGGAAGCTTTTGTTTTCATTTATTCTATCGTTTGTATACTACTAATGAAATTTTTAGTAGTAAGAAAAATACCAATAAAATGATTGATGGAATAAACAATATATCAGGTTTGTTTGAATATAAATACAATTGTGTTTAAAATGGATTATACTACTGAATCATTACTTTTGTTTATAATATTCAAAGGTTCAGAAGCTTATCCACTTTCCAATAATAATGATGATAATGATAACAAAATAATAATGGTGATTGAGTCAACTTCATCCCATTGCACATTCACGTGGCAAGCTAAGTGGATAACGTGACGACGTTTGAAGTGAACGTTACTGGGTTCAAGTCCCAGACTAAACATCAACTCTGAGATGCAGGTTTATTCAGCTGACAAGTCCTGAATAGGACGAAACGCACATCCTGGATTCTGTTACTAGCCACTATCCATCTTTGCTTATTTAGTCGACAGTAGTTTGGTATTTCATTGATTAGAATTACATTTACAAATTTAATTTAAACAAGAAAAGTAGGATACGACGAATTTTTGTTGTATTTCGTTGTTTTCACTTCAGTTGAATACAGGCTAATAAATCTAATTATTTCCAATTAGTACTACAATTTCCAGTGAGCGGCCTATGCTCCTTCACGAGGAGTAACAGGCGTAAGTAGGTAATTACAATTTAGAATTTCAAGAAAATGAATTGTCTACCGATAAAGTATTCGGTTTATTTAATGCAAATGTAGTTAGGAACTAGAATTTTCGATGTGGAGATTAATATTACCCACTGGGTTAGAACCCCGCGAGGCGGGTTGGTGGATGCGCACTGTTGAGGAGTCCCATCATATGACGAAACGGCCGTCTAGTGCTTCCAGGTTTTAAGTGGCAGTCTAACATCAATCGATTCATGATCTCAATCAAAAATTATAACTTTATCAGAGTTTTACAAATGCATGAAATGACAAGTCTAGAATATTGAAGGTAATTTTGTTAGTATGTTAAGAAGGTAAACAAACTGTGTGAGTGAAATTCTTTAGTTTATTAGTTATCATTTAATTGATGTAGAAATGTTCAGTTTGTTTCTGCAATGGAGAAGTAGATGAAGATTAAACATTAATTCATGGAAAACAAATGTCAAATTAAGGTATATCAATTAGCATCACTCCCTCTGGTTGATCACTCTAAACGCATTCATTACATTCCTTAACTATCAACCATGTGATGTGCTACCGTTCCAATATGAGCGTTTCCTATATCCATAAAATCAGTGTATTATAACTGAGTGTAACTTTAATTCGATTGAGGAACCAATAATTCAGAATGAAGTGAAACTTCATCAGTTGAGATGGCTGGGACACGTGTTACGTATGTCCAACGACCGACTACCTCGGCGTGCTATGTTCAGTGATATAGGAGTAGGTTGGAAGAAAGCTAGAGGCGGCCAAACCAAAACATGGCGCAAATCCATGAAGTCACTGACAAGTGGACTGAGCCATGTTGGTAGGTGTAGACTACCTGGTTGGGGACCACGAGATGATAGCAACCGATGGTTAGAGACCCTGAATGACATGGCTCAAAATCGTTTGCAATGGCGCAGGTGCATCCACTCTTTGTGTTCTCCCAAATTCTAATCTTCTGAATTCTTCATGTCCCTTTCTTTTTCCTCTTTCCAAATTTATTTCACTGGATTATACTCTTTAAATAACATCTCCAAACCCTAAGCTTATACTCTTGCTACCTCTACCACTACGGGATTTGAATCGACAACTGCATCTCTGTGCTAATGTGGTGTGGCAACTCGAACTGATGTACGTACGTACTAAGTTCTTCGTTGTTACTGACTGACTGACTGAATTCAGTATGAAAGTAAAGTCTATGAAACAACCAATCATTCACTACTTTCATCTTTTTTTAGTAAAAAAAAGGGGTTAATCAAATATGTGTGTATCAGCACCGGATTGAAATGGATCTAGTTGATTAGTATCAAACAGGAAAAAAATGTATCACCTAGAGATCACTGTTAATCTAACATCACGTAACGTTATATATCTAGGTAATCTGCTCATGTGATTCATGTAAATAAACAGGGACTATTAAATTACAGTCCACAATATCAATAACGAAAAGTTATAAACCCTTACTAGTAATTCTATGTATCTTACAATGTTTATTCTGAACTTACTACAGATAATACACGTAAATATCTAACTGAAGAAATATTAGCTACAACAATATTTGTTGAATCAGTTTATCCTACTCTACGAATTACTGATATTCATGGTTCAGGAAGTTTAAATAATACTAGTCCAGTGGAACTATGGAGAAGTTTGGATATAGACAGGTTTGTATTTACTGTTCATTAATATAAATTTTATCATGATAAGTATTTTATTGATTGCCCCCAAATACCTGGTATAGCCGAAAGTCAGAAAAGTCAGCTCTCCCAATCGAAATGCTCTCACATGACCACGTGCATACAACCACTGTGAAGAAAGTTCTACTCACTGCCTACTCGTGGTACCACTGTTGTTCACGAAATTGAGAGAACGAAAAGCAAATGCCCGGCGCATTCACCGGGTTGGTGGACACGTAGGGTTCACCTAAGGGAGTTGGACAACCCTGATTCCAAACCAATGCTCCACGTGGGCTCCAGAATCCTGAAGGAACAAATGGCGTATGAGCCTATTGTTGGTCACCGGCTTCCATGGGACTGCATCTCTTGACTTCACTCCACTGCCTTGTGGATTAGATCTTTTAGGTCGAGGGCTCCGGTTGTAGCGCATATCTGTTTGGTGCCCCTTTGTATCAATGTTTTTGTGTTTAAATACACAAATTTTACTTATTAGTGAATGAGATACTGGAAAAAAGGATCAAACTTTCTTTATGAGATAATTCATTAACCTTAATACGAAATAAGTCATTTGTTGTGACCAAGATTTATTAGTCAGTGAGTCAAGTGATAAATATGTCAAAACATATTTAGAAAAATAGTGGTACAGCAGGATGAAGTTACTAAGATAAAACTAATAGGAGTCAAATTCAAAATTTGAATGCTAATTGGATTAATATTCATTTTTTTATGTCTGCCTCCAATTCCCGGAGCAGTCTATTCCTTGGTCTTCCTCTTTTCCGTTTTTCTTCAGGATTCCAAGTAAAGTCTTGAAATTGATGAGTTCCATAATATATGTCGTATCCACTTCCTAACTTCCTCTTCAGTTGGAGGCTCGTTTGTTCTCTTCCACAGTAGGCTGTTGATGATGATATCCGGCCAACGGACATTGAGTGATTCGCATAGACAATTGTTTAGAAATATCTGTACTGTTTTGATGATTGTTGCTTACACGTATCAGCTCCGTGCAGTAGGACCGTCTTGACGTTCGTATTGGAGATTCTGACCATCAATATTGGTTGACAGTTGTTTTGAGTTCCATATTTTCTTCGGTTGTAGGAATGCTGTCCTCGATTTGCCAATCCTTGCATTTACGTCTGCATCCATATCCTCCTTGTTCATCGATTATGCTACCCAGGTACGTGAAAGTCTCCACCGGTACCAGAGTTTCTCTATCAAGTGTGATTGGTTTGGTTTGTGTTCTCTATGTTGTACTTGTGGACGTTACTTTTCCCTTGTGTATGTTGATGTCTATTGATATAGAGGCTACTACTACCACACTGTCTGTTTCTGATTGCAATTGTTGGTGTGCATGGAATGGAAGAGCTAGGTGATCTTCGAAGTCCAAGTCGTCTAGTTGTATGCAAGCTGACATGGTATTCCGTACCTCCCCTCAGATGTCGAGGTCTTCATAATCCAGTCAATCACCAGAAGAAAGAGAAAGGTTGAGAGCAAGCAGCCTTGTCTGACACTGGTCTCCACTTGGAGTGGATCAGTGAGCTGTCCTCCGTACACAACATGAAAGTTTAGTCCGTCGTAAGAATTCCTTATGATGGTTCTAGGTCGATGAGTTTCCCATCCTAAAAGTGCTTTACGTGCTTCTTTGGACAGCATCAGAGCAACTCTCTATGTGTGGAGCTTTTTCTTCTTCATGATCTGAGTACAGTATCATCTCTCTCGAATCTATCATTTTCTGTTCGGCTTCGGTTTAATAGGTTTCACTGAATCCACAAACCTCGTCATTTCCGCAGTTATTTGACTGGTCCTCACAGTCTCTACAATTTCTAGACATTGCATGTACCTATATCACCTATTTCTCGGGTTGTTAGAAAGGGTGTGGGCCTCTTGACTTCCGAAAAATATAGGCTTTCATCATGAGGCGTCATAATTGTCCTAAATGAAGATCCTTCAACTCCCAAGACAGAGTCTAAATGGTTAAAATAATTTAATCGGGTGAGCAGTTTTTAAAACGCTTGTTTTCTACGAGGTTAATAGTTGACCCCATGCCCAACCCTTCTCTTTTATCTGAGCTTCGGACCTACGGTAGCGCTAGAAAGGTTGAAGGCGGAGTTTAGAAGAAGATAGTAGTAAATAAATTTTTGAACTTTGTGAGCAGTTTAGAGACGTTATCCAAAGCATACAAACATAAATTACAATCATCTCACAATCCCTTACTTGGACACCTGAACTTATCAATACGACTTTATCTAACACATCTGCTCCATTTTGATATAGTTCTTTATCATTCCAAATAATGAGTGATTGAATAAAATCTCTTAATACAAGCAGGACCTACGTATTCTAGGTAGCCCAACGACTAATCCCTACATCATGTTAGAGATAGTGATCACCCAGATGATTGATATGAGATGTCAAAACTGCAGGAGAAGCTTGATCTTTCAAAAATTGTCAGAAATGTGAGTTAATTATTTTATTTATAAAGTAATAACTATCACCAGGGGTCCTATAACAAAATTTCTCAACTAAAAATGAGTCAGTTGAAGCTAGGCCACCATGGGAAACCTGGAAGCACTGGATGGCCGTTTCGTTCTATTGTGCGACTTCTCAGCAGTGTGCATCCATGAACCCAGGATCTATCGGTCTTAACCTATAGACCACTGAGCCGGCATCCAACGGTGTTAATGTCTAACTCCAACTAATTCACGAAATTGAGCCACCGTCCACCATCGTATTCAGTGAGTTACTATCTCACAACAGACCCGGTTTAACTTCACTAGTTATGGCCTCTCACCATGGTTAGTTTATAAACATTTTATTACTATTTGAACTGACCAATCACGGGTTTATTTCATGTTTATTCCATTTTCATTACTTTATAGTTTGAATATTAGTTTAGAATCTGATCCAACAGAATATGAATTAAAGGATACAATCAATAGTCGTCCACTTTATCGTGATCATCCCAAATCATTAGATTGTCGTGGACCAGAATTTGATTTATTCATTGGAACATCAGTTATAGCTAAAAATGCTGAGGTCAACAATTCTAAGGCACTACTATGCTTTTTGGTGGAAAACTCAGGTTTGATAGAAGTCGATTTCGCTTTCATGTTTCCGGAAGATTTACGTATTGAACTACCCACTTGGGCAGAAAGTGGACATTATGAGGAAGCCGAACTTCAACAAGTAGGTTAATCATTAAATCTTAACTCACTTATATTATGTGTAACATTTGTATTTGTAAAGATAGTATAGTCTCATCTCTGAAGATTGGATTGACTTGTAATTTTAACCTACTTTTTAGTTATCAAATGTTTTGCTGTGAAAAAATGAATTGAACATCTACTTTTAAATACAACTCATTGTTACATGTAAATTTGAATAAATCTCTGAATTATTAGTCTAGGGTTTCGTAGAGATTGTAGTGATATCCGTGTTCAGTGTGAATCAGTTATCCACTTCAGATAATGAATGAAGGGTTGCGCAGAATCATGGATTGACTGAAGTTAGACAATCACACCATTGGATGCCGGCTCAATAGTTTGAAGGTTAGGCGTTCACTCACAAGACCGAAGGTTCTAAGTCCAAATCCCATGTGTCAGGTGATGAATGTACACTGCTATGGAATCCCATACTAATACGAATCGGCTGTCTAGTACTTCTAATATTTCAATCGCATCTATTCTGCAATATTAAACGATTATCATTCTACAAAAGCTGATTCTATAGGGTTAATATCAACCACCAGAACTTGATATGATCCATCTTAGGTCTTATTTATTTATTCATTTATTTATATAAGCTTCTCTCCTTAATCGAATATATTTTTTTCAGAACTGGTATATTACTAGCTTGCTTACGCCTGTTACTCCTCGTGGAGGAGCATAGACCATCTACCAGTCAGTTAGTCAATACCAACGTAAAACTTTGTGCGTACGTACAACAGTTCGAGTTTCCATACCACGTTAGCACAGAGATACAATTGTCGATTCAAATCCCATAGTGGTAGAGGTAGTAAGATTATAAGCAGTAATCGGAAACATTAGGGTTTGAAGATGTTAGTCAAGGAGTATAATCCAGTGAAATAAGTTTGGAAAGAGAAAAGGAGAATTCGGAAGATTAGAATTTGGGAGAACACAAAGAGTGGATGCACCTGTGTCATTGCAAACGACTTTGGTCCATGTCGTTCAAGGTCCATAACCATCAGTCGTTATCGTCTCACGGATCCCAACCAGGTAGTCTTCACCTACCAACATGACACACTCTGTCCACTTGTCAGTGACTTCATGGATTTGTGCCATGTTTTGGTCTGGCCACCCTTAGCTTCCTTCCAACCTACTGCTACACCATGAAACATCGCACATCGGGGCAGTCGGTCGTTGGGCATACGTAACGTATGTCCCAGCCATCTCAACTGATGAAGTTCCACTACTTCATCAACTGACTTGCCATACTTACCTATCACCCGTTTCGCTACAACTGCATTAGTTACTTGGTGGTCCCAGGATATACGAGCAATGTTTCGAAGACACCTATGATCGAATATTAGGTCACCTATAGCTCTTCTATAGTCACTGTCGGTTCCAAGCCCAGATAAAGGAGATGGGTTGGGCATGAGATTAGCGACCCCATCCCGTAGAAAACTAACTCGCTAAAAAACTTTAATAATTCAAAATTATGCATAAACATTCAATAAATTTATTAGAAATAATGTTTACTTTCTTTTCATTCTGTTTAGTTACATATTGAAAATCATTCATTAATTGATATTCAACCAAGACGATGTTTATTAAAATCTGGAGAATATTCTGAAGTTATGATCACCTATAATCATAATTTATCTGGTTGTCATCAATTGCCAATCGTTTGGAAAATTAATGGTGGTCGAGAAATTAAGGTGAATAATTTAGTTCTTAAATATCTGAGGTTATAAGCGACTGACGAGAACCAGACGAAATAAAATGAATTCATGCTATACTGCTAGAAACTTTGTTTTTGATTATCATTTGAAACAGAGGCTGTAAAAACTGATCTGACTAATTAGATCAGCTTAAATCAGCTTGTAGGTTAATTGACCATATATCGAAACATTAAATGATTTACGTTTTGTTTCTGATATCAATGATCAGTAAACTTGAATACTGTCAAATCTGACACCTATTATTTTCTAATGGTGATAAGTTTTCTAATTGATGAACGCTAGATTTGGTTCTTAAGCTAATCTAGTAACTCCCCAGGTTAGATCTACACAGTGACTTGATGAACACAAGAGAAAAGGCAGGAAATATGTAAGAAACACTTTACTACAAGCAAATATGATGAGAAGGATGCATAACAACTGGAAAAACCTGCAGTTGATTGCCTAAGACTGGATTAGATGGAAAGTGCCTGTGGGTGACCTATGCTCCTCCATAAGGTGTAACAGGCATAAATAAGTAAACTTTACTCTGAAAATTCGTTCTTGTATAGAAAATCTAAAGTTTTTATATTAATCTAAGATGCTTCTTCGCGTTTACAAAACCTTTCTTGGCTATTTATTTTCAAGGAATTTTCTGGATCTTCCACCCCGCCCCCCCCCCGCAACAAATGGTAATATATATACAATCTAAATAAAGCAAGAACAAATATTGATGCAGAATAATATGTATTCATTACATTTCCTGGTTTCTCGTCAGCTTCTAATAAACTAGAGTCGACAATTACTCTTTTCTCAGTAGCTCTAACTGCATTTACCAATTTACATGTACGTGCCAAAGCACATACATTGGAAGAGTCGAGAGAAGATTACATGTTCGCATTTCTGAGCATGTTCCAAAGAAATTGAGGCTGCAAGTGACTAGGGCTCTCAATAGTGCAATACCTCGGTATTTACTTGACCCCAGGCATACCATCGACATTCCGCACGCTCTTAAAATGATCAGCAGACAAAGAAATACGATTGCTCTCCGATCGCGATAAAAAAAACTTAAACCTGATTTATGTATTCAAAAAGAGACAGTAGTAAACTTATTGTTACCCTGGTAAACCATTTTTATTTTATTTTTATTGTTTTTTGGTTATTTGTGTTATTTTATTTATTTATTTATTTATTTAGTTTTAAAACATTTAGTTTGTGTTATATTCCTCCCCCCCCCATATTACCGAATTCTTAAACCAACTTTTCATTTCCACATTTCCACCCACTTACCCTCTTAAATTATGTTAACTTTTCAAACTCTGTTCAATTATTACGTAACCTATCTTATCACTGTTTTAATTCCATATATATATATATTTAGTTGTCATTGGTAACCTTTGTCATTCCAATCCTTTGCATTCACTTATATGTCAATTGTTCCATACTATTTCTTATTTCCATGTAAAATTCTAATACAAATTTGGTTGTAAGCAGCTAACGAGAAACCACGAAATATAATGAATTTATATTATTCTGCTTAGATGGTGATTGGAGATAGTCGATAGGAAACCCTGGACACGGGTTTCGTGCTACATGGCACTCGTCAGCAAGGTGTACCTGTACCTGCACTAAATAAGGACTTGACGCACATGACATTGATCACCATCGAGTGATCAATCAATTGTGATTACATCTCAGTCCTACAGGAGATCAGTCGCGGCCCAGATAGCTCAGTGGTAACGTCTCTGACTGTGAAGCTGGGTGACACGGGATTGAATCGGCCAGGGAGCACCAGTTCCCTCAAGATTACAGGTACACCTTGCTGACGAGTGCCATGTAGCACGAAATCCGGGTCCAGGGTTTCCTGTCGACTACCTCTAACCACCATCTAATCTCAATATATAGTGCCTGTAATGTCTAGTCACCTAGACTAGTGGCCACATTGCAACATGGTCGATAGCATTCGATCTGCACTAAATAAGAACTTGACACACATGACATAAATCACCACCCAGTGATCAATCAATTGTGATTATATTATTCTGCATCATCATTTGTTCTGGCTTTATTTAAATTCATACACGGAACTAATTGCATAAAAGTATTTTTAGTCATATTGGATGCACTCACAAAATGGCCAGAAATTTATGCTATGTCACATTTCACAACGAGTCAAACAATCGGTAATTTATCTGAATTCTTTAGCTAGTTCGGAGTTCCATAGATTTTGATGACCGACAATGACTAACAATTCACTTCGAAATCATTCAAGCACTTCCACAGCATTAATGGAATTGCACATATACACTCTCTTTCCTATTCCCTTCAATCAAACGGACAAGCAGAGTTCTTTGTTGACACATTAAAAGAAAACACTACTGAAAGGGGGAGATGAGGGGGGGGCAAATTAGATAATTACAAAACGTTTAACAGTTTATAGAACTACACCCAACCCTATTGTCCTAGATGGAAAGTTCCCTGCTGAATTTATGTTCGGAAGAAGTATTCAGGCTATATTCAACGTCATGGTGCAGACAAAATCCGAATATCCATAGTTTTCATTTGGGTAATATATACAATCGTCAATTTTTCTTTTATCGGAATGTGTTTTGTGGAGATTTTTAGAAATTTTCACAGATTGAACTCATGAGTCAGTTGAAGCTAGACCACCATTGAAAACCTGGAAGCACTGGACGGCCGTTTCGTCCTAGTATGGGACTCCTCAGCAGTGCGCACCCACGACCCCGCACCACCCGGGGCTCGAACCCAGGACCTACTGGCTTCGCGCGCGAGCACTTAACCATTAGACCACTGAGCCGGCATCCAACGGTGTTAATGTTCAACCAGGTCTGTTGTGAGATAGGAACTCACTGAAAACAATGGTGTACGGTAGCTCAACTTCGTGGATTGGTTGAAGTTAGACATTAACACCGTTGGATACCGGCTCAGTGGTCTAATGGCTAAGTGCTCGCGCGCGAAGCCAGTAGGTCCTGGGTTCGAGCCCCGGGTGGTGCGGGGTCGTGGATGCGCACTGCCGAGGAGTCCCGTACTAGGACGAAACGGCCGTCCAGTGCTTCCAGGTTTTCAATGGTGGTCTAGCTTCAACTGACTCATGAGTTCAATCTGTGAAAATTTTCCTTTTATTTTCTTAATTATCTTTTATATATATATACACTTTTTCTTCTTCATCATTTCTAATTAGTTAAATATGATTGGTGTTACTTTACCATTAAATCAACCTTATTTACAATTAATGAATCGTAAATATATATTGAATCCAACACCAATTGGATTAGGAGATTATCGTTTAGGTTATTTATATCAAATGAAATTAAAAAATCCTAGTACTAAAACACTTAAATTTCATCTTACTCCACTTCAATGGTTTATCAATAAATCAATAATCAATAAAGAATTGAAAAAATCAGAAATCAATGAAAAATTAATTGAATATGATTTACCTATATTATATTGTATACAAAATCAAGGATTAATTCAATCAAATGGATTATATAGATTAGATTGGAGATTTCGTCCTATAGAAGCAAAAACATATACTGTAAGTTATTATTTATTTAAATATATTTGTTTAAAATAAAGTTATCCGTTGTTAGGATACTCCATATACACCAATGTAAATATTGTCAGTTAGTGGTCATGAGTGCGGTTAGAGGTATGAGAGTGGTTATCACATCACGGTTGCCCACACCGTGTAAAGGTTCTTCTGGAAGTACTTAAAAACGAAACTGGATTAAAGGTGATCTTAGTGACCTCAGAGCATGACCGCAGTGTCTAAGGGACAACTGCTTGAGGTCGGTCACACATGACCCTTTTATGAATAATTTTCATGTTAGCTCCGTACTTATTGAAACCTTACTGCCGGAGACGGATAAGGCGAGGAGTGCATTTTTAGGATCGAGATTTCCTAACCCCATCCCTCCTTGTGGGAAAGCAGCATCGCCTTTATGTTGGTTGTCTGAAGGAAACACCTTACTGTTGTCACACTTCTGCACAGTCAACAGTACGACTTCGCCTTCGGACCTTAGGTTTGCTGCTTTCAGTCTTACTGTTCTTCAACCGACCTGTCTGGTTGGTAGGACCTCGAGGAACGATTGTTGCAGCTAGTATAGCTTGATCGGTTCATCACGATAAGCAAACCCGATCACCACTTCAAGGTTGCAGCAACGGTCAGGATATAAATATTGTAGTTAACTATCAATGATTGACTTATACAACCACTGAGCTATTGCCTTAAAGCCTGAAGCTTCTGAATTTGACCCTCTGATGAGGTTGTGTATATGAAATGCTAAATAGTTCCACACTACAAACAGAAACTCAATACCTCGTAGTTTTCAAAAATAGTTTAATCAAAGTCAGTCAATGATATAAGTTTTTAAATTCAACAATTTCTGCAGCACCCAATGCCAAAAAAGAAACCTCGGCAAAGAGTTAATTATTTAGCTGTTATATGTTTCTCATTGATAGCCATTAGAGAATTCATGAACATTGAAAAATATTTATTCAGTCCTTGTCTTTAACTGTTCAACACAGTGTTTCGTATTTTTGGTTGTGTGTTGGTCGGTATTCAATATTATCCTTAAACTTCGTATACGGTTCACTAGATAACATCTCAACGGTGTATTAATCAGAAGGTGAACACGAAGTGTTAATTAAGTCTATTATTGTACCACGCACAGATAACCAAAATTACAGGTACACTAAGCAAACATGATAGACTAGTGCCGAAAATTAAGCGAGTGAGTTTGCGAGTCGAATGAACGAGTGTGCGAGCAGTTCAATGAACAGGATTAAAATGTACATGTATATATATATATATATATATATAGGGAAATGAATGAATCATCTAATCAATTAAGCGACTAATAGTAAGGCTATCAGAGTGAATATATATGAGTAGGCAATATACAATGCTCAAGCATACATATTCATACAAGTGCAACGATAATAAAGGTACAATGGTATAGATTAATTGATATTGTACGAATGACTCTATCCGTTAAATAAGTTAACAAAAGAGCTTAACCAAATTAAATGTGAACAAACTCAGTTGCACGTGAGCTGCTATAAGATCATCCTTGTTCATCGATTATGCTGACGAAGTCATGTACTGAAACTTTCCACCTGTTCATGAGTTTCTCCATCAAGTGTAATTGGTTTGGCTACTGTTCTCTGTGTTGTGGTGGTAGCCTCTTTGACTGTGAAGATGAGCTATACGGGATGGAAATCGCTAGATGGTACATTAATGATGTATTTCAAAAATAGCATAAAATCTAGGTCAACTAGTGTTTCCTATCGACTACCTCCAATAACTTTACCTTAGTTCATTAAATCTTTTACCGATAGTTGTTTTAATCTAATTTATATCAAATTAGCACCTACAACATTTGCGAATTACATTCTGATAAGGCGTGTGAGCCAACTCGGGTGAAATTATAATTTATGGACGACATTTGAGAGACTGAGAGTGTTCACCTAATAACCAGGGTTATAAACCTGTGTAACGAATAAGAATTATGATTTTTAGTTGATGATTAAGGTTAGAAATTAGATTTAGGGTTTTCATCACGATCTGACATCAACTATAATGCCAACACTCTATTTATCCGAATGAATGAGTGAATTTCGCGTCAAAATCCGAAACCTGTTATCTTCTACGTGATTGGTTCGTCCATAAATCATAGTCTCGCCAGATAAGAAATGCACACATATACAGTCATATAAAAACAGAGTTGATAGGCGAATAATTGACAAGGTCAAAATATGATTCAAAAAGAATGAATAGATCGGCCTGTCTGGAAGCTAGAAAAAGCTACGTGGACTTAACATAGTAACCGACACTCTACAAGACTTACTATATATATGAAAACAGTGAAACAGCAAATTAAGTCTATTAATCTACAGGCAAAAATGTCTGACAGAGAATAAATGTAAATCATCAGTAAATGTTTGACGATGAATGATAAGTCTTTTGAGCTAGAAGTAAGCTCTTTAGTATACAATTGAAGAGATGAGAATACACATTGTAACATACAATGGTCTCTAAGTATGAACTTTCTAGCACACTTAACATCTGGCATTTATAAAACTTTTAGGAAATACGTTATTCTAATCTATTGGTTCTTATCGTTATTGATTCGACCAATGAATATTGATATTGATATTAGATAATATGACTTAATACAGGATTAATTACTTACTTACTTACGCCTGTTACTCCTAATGGAACATAGGCCGACGACCAGCATTCTCCAACCCACTCTCTCCTCGGCCTTCCTTTCTAATTCCCTCCAATTCATGTTCATTCTTCTCATGTCTATCTCCATTTCCCGGCGTAATGTGTTCTTTAATTTTCCTCTTCTCCTTCGTCCTTCACGATTTCATATAAGGGCTTGTCTTGTGATGCAGTTGGGTGCTTTCCTCAATGTGTGTGTATCCTATCCATTTCCAGCGCTACTTCCTGATTTCTTCCTTCACTGGGATCTGGTTTGTTCTTTCCCACAGTGGGTTGTTACTGATAGTGTCTGACCAACTGATCCGAAGTATTTTGCGTAGACAACTGTTAATAAACACCTGAATCTTCTGGATGATGGCTTTCGTAGTTCTCCAGGTTTCTGCCCTATACAGTAGGACTGTCTGACATTTGTAATGAAAATCCTGACCTTGGTGTTGGTTGACAGTTGTTTTGAGTTCCAGATGTTCTTCAGTTTTAAATATACTCCTATTGCTTTACCGATCCGCGCCTCCACATCTGCATCAGATTCACTGTGTTAATCAATGATGCTGCTCAAATATGTAAAGGTTTATATCTTCCAAATCTTCTTCGTCAATTGTGACTGGATTTGTGCATGCTGTGTTGTATCGGAGAATCTTTATTTTTCCTTTGTGTATATTGAGACCTACTTCTGCTGAGTCTGCTGCCACACTGATCGTCTTCTCCTGCATTCATTATTGCGTTTGGGATAGAAGGGCCAGATCATCTGGGAAGTCTAGGTCGTCCAACTGCATCCTAGATGTCCACGGTATCCCGTGCTTCCCTTCAGATGTTGACGTCTTCATGATCCAGTCGATCGTCAGGAGAAAGAGAAAAGGTGAGAGTAAGCAAATACAGGAATAACAGACTAGAATAATAGACTAGATCAATAGATCGATGGACACACTCAATATCGGATAAACGATTTTAATCGTGATCATTATCGCTGATTTCAATGTTAGATTACTGATGACAATCTGTAGGAATCTCTAAATTCACCCTACTCATCAAAATTAGGGATAGATCTGTAGTGTGACGTCGAGTCGCGGTTGGCTATGATCATCCCTACAAGAAGACTACGTGCCAGTTAACCAGTAAGATCCCCCGTAGGCCAAAATTTTCAGAAGGCAGTTAATGGCTGTAGTCGAGATGTATTTGTTGGCGATCTCGTGGTATCGAAAGAATATCGAGATCGTGCCAAAGGAGTACAAGCGGAATCACTGAGCAAACGTAAGTGCATGCAAGGTCACAATCAACGGAAGGAAGAATGTCTTTAGTACAGTTAAACGAACAAGTACAGTAAAACAATCACTGGTACAATTGGTTATAATAATAATAATTGTTTCCATTAAACCAATCGCATCCTCTTGATAAAAGTAGGTCACTACAGATCTTGATAATCTATGCTAATCACTGCATGAAATTAAAGTCTTCAGCTTTCTGTGAACTTCTTATAAATATTTACGTGATTATTTTCTAATCATATTTAATATCATGAATTGTATATAATTTTCAGGCTTATTGTTATATTCATATTGTGGATGCTGAACTACCATCAGTCACTAATCAATCAGTCTATTCTGATACTATTCTATTAGAATTAGTAGCAATTGGATATGATCCAAAACAATTGGGACCTAAAGAAATAATAGCAAACCCACAGCATGTTCGAATTCCAACTGCTATTGAAGTAATTATACACATAAATAGTTTGTTTATATAAATTTTAAATGTGCTATTTTTCATAACAGCTTAAAGTAGGTATGCAATTCTAAGCTTCACGAGTGTGTGTTTTTTTGTGCACTCTGATTGATAATACTTATAAGTAGTATACAAATGATTCTTGCCAAATACTAATGTTAGATATAAACTATTGAATAGAAAAAGTAAATTAATTAATATGGGTACCATATGTCAGCATCATATATGCGAATCATCCCTAACTATCTATAATATGCAGTGATGTCTAGCATGGAATTAACTTTTTTTTTAAAACAATTACTAGCAGTAAGATGATAGTATGTCATGAATTCATGAAGTCAATAATTGCTGATGTGAGCTATGCACGTAAGTTTAAACGTTTTAGTCGGTGTCCATACCCACTTGTCAGTCAGTCAGTCAGCCAGTAACAACGTAGAACTTCGTACGTACGTACATCAGTTCGAGCTCCCATACCACATTAGCACAGAAATGCAGTTGTCCATTCAAATCCCATAGTGCTAGATGTAGTAAAAGTATAAGTAGTGATCGGATAGATTAGGGTTTGAAGATGTTATTCAAGGAGTATAATCCAAAGAAAAAAGAAAGGGATATGAACAATTCAGAAGATTAGAATTTGGGAGGACACAAAGAGTGGATGCAAATGCGTCACTGCAAACTGTTTCGAGTCATTTCATTCAAGGTCTCTAACCATCGGTTACTATCGTCTCGCGGATTTCAACTAAGTAGTCTACACCTACCAACATGATTCACTCAGTCTACTTTCAACCCACTTGTAATTAGTATTTGAAAGCTTTAGATGACTTAGCATAAAATTGATTCCAACAACTCAGTTGCAATATTCCTCTAGCTCCAAATTGTTCGATAGGAAACATCCTTACGGTTATGTTCTTTAAAAATTTTCAGTTTCTTTTCAACTATTCTCTTAAATTTCATGCAATTGGTTCCCTTTATGAATTTAAATGGTCCCAAGCACCTCTAGACTGTATCTCCTCATTTCTGCAACAATTTGGAAGACTCTCCCGGTGTCCCACATTGTACGAGTATTTAATGTGCCTAAATAAATGGTTGCTCTGGTTGTCAGAAGGGGCATCGGCCTCGTGACTTCCGAAGGAACTCGGCTTTCATCATGAAGCGTGATAGTTCTTCGAGATGAAGACCTTCTGACTCCCAGGGCAGAGCTTGAATGGTTTGAATAATTTTTTCTGGTTAGCGTTTTTTTAGCGAGTTAGTTTTCTACGGGATGGGTTCGCTAACCTTATGCCCAATGCTCCTCCTTTATCCGGGCTTGGGACCGGTAGTAGCCCTCGGAGGGACTCCAGACGGAGTTCATACTTTTTTACATATCCTATAAGGACTGAATATGCAAAACTAACTTAGAATCATGTGCTACATGGTCTATTGTTACATGATTGATCAATAAAGTGTGAAAATTTACGCTACAATAACAAATTAACTTAAGTTCGTATTTTACATTCCTACCGTGTCGAGTATAGGTATAATAATGATAATTGTTTACTTAGAATCTCTTCAAATTTCCCAAGTACCCCTATCAATGTGAAATATAACTGGATAAATGAATATAACATGCTCACTTACTTTATTTACTCAGTCTGAGAAGTAAGTGAGTACACTGATATTACAAAACACTATTTATCTTTAGCAAAATACTCTCCATTTTTAATAAAACATGTATCTTATCTCTTTGTCAACTGTTCCGAGAACATCCACAGACAGAGTTAAAAATCAAACTTTTTACTTGCCTTCACTGTTTCACTTTACTACATTGCTCCTGCATAACTATTCTACGCTTTAAGATCAGAGAGAAATCTCAGAGAACTAAATTTGATAAGAAAAGGAGGTGTTCCATAGCAGTGATAAAATTAAGGGCCAGAAGATTTCAAATAATCACGACTGAATGTTTGGATTGATCGTCCTGACATATTATCATTTGCAATCTTGACCACTATAATTTAAACGCTCAATTTCATTTATAAATTTCTTTACCTATATGTTACCTTAATTACTTTACTTACTTCACATATGTTACTCCCAGTGCAGAATAGGCCGCCGACCAGCATTCTCCAACCCACTCTCTCCTCAGCCTTCCTTTCTAATTCCCCTCAATTCTTGTTCATTATTCTCATGTCTGTCTCCATTTCTCTGCGAACTGTATCCTATGATCTTCCTCTCCTCATTTGGCCTTGAGGATTTCACGTGAGGGCTTGTCTTGTGACGCAGTCGGGTGCTTTCCTCAATATGTATCCTATCGACTTCCAACACTTCTTCCTGATTTCTTCATCCGCTGGGATGAGATTTGTTCCCTCTTACAGTAGGTTGTTGTTATTGGTGTCTAACCAACGGAAACGAAGTATTTTGCATGGGCAACTGTTAATAAACACTTGTATCTTCTGGATGATGGTTGTGGTCGTTCTCCAAGTTTCCGCCCTTTACAACAGAACTATCTTGACATTTGTATTGAAAATTCTGACTTTGGTGTTGGTTGACAATTGTTTTGAGTTTCAAATGTTATTCAGTTGTAAATGTGCTGCTCTTGCTTTGCCGATCCGCGCCTTCACATCTGCATCAGATTCACCGTGTTCATCAATGATATGTGAAAGTTTTTACATCTTCCAAAATCTCTTCGTCAAGTGTGATTTGATTGGTGCATCTTGTGTTGTATTTGTGAATCTTGCTTTTCCGTTTGTGTATGTTGAGACCTACTGCTGCTGAAGCCGCTGCTACACTGGTTGTCTTCTTCTGCATTTGTTGTTGCGTGTGCGATAGAAGAGCCAGATCATCTGAGAAGTCTAGATCGTCCAGCTACATTCTAGCTGTCCACTGCATCTCGTACTTGCTCCGAGATGTTGACGTCTTCAATACTTTGTAATTATCTTAACAGATTTTGTCTAGTTTCATCACAAATTTTATGTTAAACCGCTGTGCGAACATTTGCTGAACAGATCACAGATATTTTTAGCACATTTCAACAAACCAAATAAACTTCTTTCAAATTTTGTTTTATCCTTTTTAAATGAATAACACCCGAGATCCTAGCCAAAAGCAAAATGAGTTTACAGTATAATATTTGCCTTATTTTACAGAATCATATAATCTCTTTGGATAGAAAACCACAGTCAATCATTAAATCCAACAATGATAGTATGGATGAGGATGATTTGACTTTTCGAAATTTTCCTCCACTTGCACGTCGAATTAAAACTCCAATTGATTCATGGGTCAGTTTATCACATCATTTAATAGAATTACATCGTATTATTATTGGAACACGTTGTAGACGTTTAATTCATATGACAAATAGATTTAGCTCTAATATTCATCGATTACCTGTTAATAATCGATCAGTTTATCGATTTCGATGGTTTACGGAATTTCCAAATGATATGGAGGTAAGTGAATTGTTTTTTTACTGATGTTAATAGCTCATTCAAAATTAGTTTATCATCCAGGCAAATATATGCATTGGTCCAAGTTGGCATATCTCATTAGCATAACAAGATGAACACCGGATTCATAGAAGTAGTTAATTCAATGGTGGTAATTTATAAAAGAAAGATTGCATATAAGGACATAGTATAGGAAGAAAGAATTAGTTGGTAGAATGAATGATATGAAGCGATTTTAATCTCATAGTTTAAAGGAAAACAGAGAGTGTTTAGTGGCCCGGGATCTGACTCCAAATTGATCGTAATGATGATTGTTGTTGAAATATATATGTGTCGCCTATCCTTGTATATAATCATCGACTTTGATCGCGTTAGTCAATAAGGGATTTAAATAAGTCAAATAACGAGAATGGACTTTTGAATACATATGTTTTGTGTATAAAGCGAATGGAATAGAGAGAAGAGAAACTACGCAGAGTGGAGATGACTGGTAAGCCAACTCCCATTTAACTAAGTGTTAATCAATACTTATAGTTACACAAAAGTAAGTTACAGACATGCGATGAGTAATGGGATAAGAAATGTACACACACCTACGAGCTCATATAAAAACAGTCAAGATTGATAAGCGAATTAATAACAAGGTCAGAATGTGACTCAAGTGGAATGAATAGAATGGGCTGTCCGAAAGCTAGAATAAGGTATATGGGCTTAACATAATAACCGACACTACAAAATAAATGGGATTAGTAACAGTCAAAGTGATGGTAGTATCAGTATTAGTGAGAAAGATTAAACATTAGCGAATATTTTCCAAAAAGTAGAAATAAATTTGAAGAATAAAGACTCATATCAAGAAATGTCACTATTGTTGAACGTTCTAAAGTTTTCCTAATCTCGAAGATCTAACAATGAGGGAATATTTGATCTATGTGATCAAGTGTGTGTACAAAAGCAGCCCGGTTTTACCGGATTTGATGACTATGAGCCCTAGCTAAGCACTGGATGATTATTGAGGTCAATATGTTAAATGTATTGGTCAAATTGATTCCTCCATATATTATTACAAGATTATATCAGTTCTTTCATATAAATTGGAAAGATTAGCGATTAAGATTATTCATATTTGGTTGTATTCAGCTCTAAGACTTCAGCTTATATATCAATCAACCTAACTGCTAAAATTGAATCACCATCGTTAGACAATTTTAGAGTTACTTTTGAGGTCGTGCTGCCTCTCTCTTACTTGGTAACAGTGCCTCATATTAGATACTTTTGAACGATCTTGGCTATGAGATTTAAATGCCCAAGATTTGATCTCTGGAAGAGTTGTGGGTTAACATTACTAAAAACTATTATACTAGAGTGAGACAAATGCCCTTGCACTCTACTTGCACCTTTCATTATGGCATATTTCCAGTCATGATCGATTTATGTTTCCTGGTTCATGTATTCTGATATTCGCAGTCCATTGAATAACGATCTCGTAAAATCAAGAATTTCACCAAATAATAATGATTATTAACTTCTTATCTCTTAGTTTACTTTGATAATTCAAATCCTCCTGATAAGTCTTGCGGACTGAACGCTATATTCGTCTCCTAAGCTATTCTGTAACCTCCAAGCTAGAACTACACAGCGAACTGAGCACGAGAGAGAAGACTCAAAGTATGCGAGAAGTAGTTGACTCCAAGGTTCATTTTAACACAAAATATAGGGTTTTTATAATATTTTTAGATGTCCTTGGGTTGATAGAAGATTTTGGAATGCTACTCAACATAGTAGCAGTGTAGCAATCAGCTAATCAGAACCTCTGCATGTGACGTTTCACTTCCTTGATATTTTTGGCCAAAACTTCAAGTGAACGCTGATTGAAGGAAACGCTTCTTAGTGTTTCCTCATCCTTGCTTGTTTTTCGCAAGCAATTTTCTGGATCACCCCAACACCTTCTTGATGAAAAGTATCCATGAAAAACATCATCAACTACAGAGTTACTTCAAATTTGAGCTTAATTATACTATTTTCACCTATTATTAGTCTCTTATGTATAGAAAAGTATAAGAATGCTTGTTGACAATTTATTTCCATCACCTTTTATATTCCTCTTATGACTTTTAGATTGTTAACATTAATCCAAGAATAGGGAGAATTAAGCCAGGTCAAACAATTCAAGAACTGATTACTTTTACAGCTAGTGGATTACCACGTTTTACTGAGATAAATCTAATTTGTGAAGTGAGTGGTAACAAAAACAGTCGAAATTCTTTATGTATCTTTCAACTTTCTTTTATGATTGTTATGATTCTCTTTTTTACAGTGATAGGATCTGATCTGAGCAATTAAAGGCTAGAAAAAACGTAAGATTGGTCATTATTCAATGATCACTCAATTGTAAATATCACAGTACTACAGAAGGTCAATCTCGGCTACAATAGTTTATTGGTTATGTTTAAAAATGTGAAGCCAGCTAACATCGGTTCATACTCAACAGGCAACCCTGACCTGTATGGTACCTAGATTTAGAATCGGCGGTTAACTACCTCCGAACATCTAACATACTTATATTGTATCAATAAAAATAGTTTGGGTATTGAAAATGTTAAATGACGATTAACAAAGGACTATTGAACATGTGAAGTTTACGTAATTTTGGTAAACTAAATAACCAGTGCAATCTGTATAGATTTTCCATATTCCATATTCTTTCATCTAAGATTTTTGGAGGAACTATCAAGAAACTGTGGGCATAGGCTTCATATTAGTTAACACTTGTCAGCAATTCATTTCTACAATCCTATAATATTTGATATTCCCTATGATTTTTGTTGAGATCTCTTGAGTATTCCTCTATAAAGTCTACAGAAGCCAAGAAAAGACTGAAACATCATATCGAATTAATATTTTATTGAAAATTCCCAGAACAATCTAGTACATGGATAGATTATATTCCACACTATTTCGATACTAAATTTAGCACTCTGTCAGAAGTTTCCAGAAGGTTAAGATCATTCGTACACTGATAAATGGTGTTATTTTCTGTTCATAAATTAACCTTGAAGTGAAGCTTCTGTTCTCACTACGCTCCTCTACTTTACCGTTCGAAGCTCATGTGTAGAAGAATTCTAAGGATCAAGGATAAAAATTTTGCAATCATTTACTTGTGCACCGACCAAGCTCATAATTTAGCTTAAAATAAATTTATTTTAATGAAATGTAATGATTGAGCATATAATTTTATTGTCAGTCAGTCAGTAACAACGTAGAATTTTGTACGTACGTACGTACATCAGTTCGAGTTGCCACACCACATTAGCACAGAGATGCAGTTGTCAATTCAAATCCCATAGTGGTAGAGGTAGTAAGAGTATAAGCAGTAATTGAAAACATTAGGATTTGAAGATGTTATCCTTACCTAGTACCCGTTTCCTTACAACTGCATTACTTACTCGTTGGTTCCAGGATATACGAGCAATGTTTCGAAGACACCTATGATCGAATACTGGTAACCTACGAATATCCTCTGATGAGACTTCCAAGATAAGTGAAGCAGTCGACACACTCAACTACTTCACTCCCTATCACTAGTTCGAGTGTCGACGCCACCCAATCCTGAAGCAACCTTTTACATTTCGAGGAAAGGAATCGCATGCTGAACATGCTTGCATTGTTGCTTAGAGTGGTAAGAAGACTCTGCATCTTGTCAGCGTCTTCACCAAATAGAACTGTATCATCGGCATATTTTAAGTCAACAAGTGAATCTCCCGGTAGAAGTTCAACCCCTGGAAATCTAGACGAGGAAAGTGTCATTTCTAAAAGCACGTCAACGACAAAGTTAAACAGAAATGGAGAGAGTGGACATCCCTGACAGAATCTCCTTTAACATTTTGGAGTGAGTAGAGAAAGAGATTGACATCATCATATGGAATTCTTACGACGGACTAAACTTTCATGTTGTGTACGGAGGACAGCTCACTGATCCACTCCAAGTGGAGACCAGTGTCAGACAAGGCTGCTTGCTCTCAACCTTTCTCTTTCTTCTGGTGATTGATTGGACTATGAAGACCTCGACATCTGAGGGGAGGTACGGAATACCATGTCAGCTTGCATACAACTAGACGACTTGGACTTCGAAGATCACCTAACTCTTCCATTCCATGCACACCAACAATTGCAATTGGAGACAGACAATGTGGTAGCAGCAGCCTCTACATCAGTAGACAACAACATACACAAGGGAAAATTAACATCCACAAATGCAACATGGAGAACACAAACCAAACCAATCACACTTGATGGAGAAACTCCGGGACCGGTAGAGACTTTCACGTACCTGGGTAGCATAATCGATGAACAAGGAGGATATGGATGCAGACGTAAATGCAAGGACTGGCAAATCAAGGACAGCATTCCTACAACCGAAGAAAATATGGAACTCAAAACAACTGTCAACCAATATTGATGGTCAGAATCTCCAATACGAACGTCAAGACAGTTCTACTGTATAGAGCTGAAACTTTGAGAACAACCACAATCATCATCAGAAGATTAGTCATTTATCAGCATTTGTCTACACAAGATACGTAATGTCCATGGGAGAGAACAAACCAGCTTCCATCTGAAGAGGAAGTTAGAAGAAGACGGTTTATGTGGTGGGTGGAACATAAATTGTGGAAATCACCAAAGTCCATCACAAGATAAAGCCTAACTTTGAATCCTGAAGGGAAACGGAAAAGAGGAAGACCAATGAACACATTGCGCCGATAATCGGAAGCAGACATTTAAGGAATAAATAAAAAATTGGTAACAACTTGAAAGGAGAATAGAGGACAAACTCAGTTGGTATATCTTGGTCGTCAACCTATGCTTCTCCATTAGGGCTAACAGGTATAAGTAAATGTAGAAACACTACATTATTTCGATCTTTGTTATTTTCATTTCATCTTGCTAATCTGGCGTAATAACTTCTGCAAAACCCATCTATACCATACTTCATGTTGATGGTGGTTATCTGTCTGCTTATACCATTAGATACTTCATGAGTTGTATAACATTGTAGTGCTCTTATACCTCTTCTCCTTAGCTAAATATGCCCTCAGATTCTTTTAATGTACATATATATGTTTTTGTCGTTACAAAAACTTCTTGTTGTCACTGCATTTTACTGTCATTTGAATGACAATGAACGAATTGCTAAAGTAAAACCATTTTTTATAAGCTTGTATATATCATTATTAATATTTGGAAGATATTTTATGTCATTTTACACATAAACTAACTGTTTATGCAGATGAACATTGAACTATTATTGTGAACAGTCATACTGTAGTGAACAAGAGCATAAAAATGGGGACAACCAAATGTATTTTAATACAACAGCACAGAACATCTTAGTAGAATCTAAGAACAATATAGTAAACACTTCATTTGCTAAATGTCTCAGACTTGATTGTTTCTAAGTTTTCACACCAATCACTCACTGTTCTCATTCTTTTCTCTTCGATCTTCTTAACATTCTGCCTCCAGACATTCTACTTTCGATTGGTGATACATACTACTTATATCTGTCGATATCAATAGCACAAACCACAATACCAAGTACCACGATAACTATTTAATCGTCATACATAAAAAAATGTTAAATTACACTTGTTCAATAAGTTAACCAATAAAGTTCTAAACTCGGAGAATACTGTAACAATGTTTATCAACTAGTAAACAAAACAGTATATACAGTGGTTTATACGACGCTGAAAGACAGGGCAGTCAGCAGAGATCAGAGTCAATAACATATATTTATTGCTCTGATTAATTTGTAGGGGTTAAAATACTATTCAAGCATTGATTCTAAGGGCGCTCTCTATCCTAGACGAATAAGTTACATGTTCACCATGACAACGACTATTATTACATTTTTTTATCATTTAGTTAATCGATGAACATGAAGAGAACAAATATTGTGAAGAATTAAAGGCTTGGCAATCCGAAATAGATAGATTGAAAGTTGAATTTACAGTAACAGATAATGACTTAAGAAAAAAGAAAGCGAAACCAGAAGCCATATCATCAGAATCAGATGAGATTGATATAGATGAGTTTTGTCAAAAATGGCCAAAACCAATTCACACCAAACCAGTTTACGTTTACCTCACAATCAGTGCGGAAATAATCAATGATGAAGCTGCAAAAATCTATGGTGTAAATGATGAAGGGAAAACATCATTCATTGACTAGTAAGTAAAATATTTTTAATATACGTAATTTGTGGAAATTAATGTAATATACATCATATTTTGACAAGGAAGTATTGGACAGTCGTTCCATTCTAGTATGGGACTTCTCAAGAAGTACTCATTCACGACCCTACCAAGAGTCGAACCCAAGAGCTTAGGGTCTCAACACTCTGGTAATAAAAGTAAGAGATACGCTCTAATTGTAGAGACATCAACTGGCGACTCTAGGACTAGAGTATATTTATTTATTTATTTGAACACATGAATATTGGTACAAGAGAGCGCCAATATATATGCGCCACACAAAACAATGAAAATTCGAAGAGAAGTACCAAAAAAACTAAGGAGCGCAAAAGAAAAAGAGAACAATAACGAAGAGATTGGTGTAAGGTAGTGTGGCAGTAACGAGGGAACCGGAAGGTACACTCAGAAGAAATCTTTCAGGTAAGGGAGACACAACCAGTTTTTATGAAGAAAGTAAAAGACGGTTACAGCAGGATCGCCACTGGCTTCTATTCTGAGCCATATCTGATAACGTCTCTAGCCACTGTGTAGCACCATCTCTCAGACCCCAACCAGGGAGTCGTGAAGGTCCGATAGAAGCCAGCCCTTTGCAGCTTTCTTTCATACCACGACACCATGTTATGCACTGACCACCTCTCCGCTTCTTCCAACCAGTCCCAGAGTCGGCAAATAATGCACGACGTGGAATTCTCTGGGACGACATTCGGAGAACATGTCCAAGCCACCGAAGTCGGTGTTTCAAGATGGTGACACCAATTGAATTATCATCTCTGTGCCCGAACACACGATGCCGAACCTCTGCATTACTGACATGGTGTTGCCACTAAATGTCAGCAATCCTTCGGAGACAGCGATGATCGGACACAGAGAGTCGTCTAACGTCCTCAACTCGGAGAGACCAGGTTTCACAAGCATAGAGCAGAACTGCTCTCACCGACGCGTTGTAGATCCGACCTTTTACAGCCAGACTAACATCACGAAGGCGCCAAAGGTGGCCCAGATTGGCATAAGCCGCTCTGGCTTTCACTATTTGTGCATTGATCTCATCACTCACACCCCCACCAGCACTTATGCAGCTACCCAGATACACGAACTTCTCGACTACTTCTATCCGTTCACCGTCCAGGGTGAGTACAGGATTGGAATCCTGCCAGTCTTGTAGAAGTACTTTGCACTTCGAAGGTGACAATAAATATGACTGCTAACCTCACCACATTCTTTTACTAAACGGCAGTGATATAAGAAAACATTTGTTCTATGATTAATAATCAATTTGTGAATGACAATCGTCACGAATTGATTGCAATCGAGGTACCATTGAAAACCAAAAAGAACTAGACAACTGTGTAGTCTTAGTAAGGAACTCCTTAATATTGTGCAATAATGACCTTGCCAGGGATTAAAACCTTAGTACTCAATAGCAAACTAACTGATTAATTTGTAACACCTACAAATTAAAAACGATCGCCACAATAATCGTTTAGTCTAACTATAATAGTCAGCTTACCAGTTACTTAGGTCTAAACGAGTTTCTAAATTTTTTTAGTGGAAATTTGTAACCAGTGGAATGAAACGGTTGCTAACAAAGTTTCCTAACGGTTAGGTACTTGTCAAAAGATTTACAATTCTTTAGTCTGATCCTTGGTGGGGTTGTAGTTGTAGGTTACCGAAAAGCCCGACATCTGCCAAGCACCCACTGGTTCTCAGCAGTATCCCAACTGAAACCAATTGATGACAAATATCATTTACAGCTTTAGAAAACAATTTCCACAAGACTCCTTTATCTAAAATTCCCATATGTACCAATTTACGATTACCATTAAAAAAATGACTTGCGCTGATTGGTCTTTACGCCAGAATAACTTGTCTAATAAAATTATTCAGACCATATAGTAGTACTGTTGTGTATTTTGCTTATGCTGACAGATATAAGTAATATGTAGCAGCAGTCAGAAGTAGAATGCCTCCCAGTCGAAGATCGATATAAAGTGAACAGGAAGAGAAACAGGGAGGAATTGGGAGAATCCTGAAGTACGAGAAGGACAACTGATGGAAGATGTGAATGTATTTAGTGCTTTTCATATTTTATGAAAGCACTGTTTTAGCACATCTGAATTCTCTCTTATTACAGTACATGTGTAAATCTACCTTACTAGCTAAGCGAACTACTCACTCCCATTTTCGAACAACGAATAGGAGAATTTCGCCAAAAGGCAGGCTTTCATTCGAGAGCAATTGTATTTTCTCCACGAATGTCTTCGCCAGCATGTCCTACCAACAAGTGTAAGATAGAGACCTCCAATCAACTGCCCATTGGGATGGAGAATAGCTGAGCAAAGTGGAAGAAAAACGATACACGTAATCATAACAGATGCACATTATAGAGCTACTCACTATTATTGCTTGAAAACAGCAAGTCTTATTCATGTTCACGTGGGTAGTACATGTACAAAATTTCATTTGAAATATTATAGTTATGTGTTTTATACGTTACATCTTTATGTCACTATCTTTTATTTATTTTAACACATAAATATTGGTACAAGGAGGCACCAAATACATATGCAGCACACAAATCTCATTTGATATGTGTGGGGGTTATGATACTGCCCGGCTGCTCAAACCGAAGCAGCTGGGTTTTCTTAGGGGGGTATACCCGGAGCCTTCGACCTGAAAGTCTGACCCACAAGGCAGTGGAGAGACCTAAGGAGATGCAGTCCCATGGTAGCCGGTGACCAACGATTGGTTCATACGCCATTTGTTTCTTCAGGATTCTGGAGCCCATGTGCACCATTGGTTTGGAATCAGGGTTTTCCAACTCCCCTAGGCGAACTCTCCATGTCCACCAACCCGGTAAAAGCGCCGGACATTCGCTTTTCGTCCTCTCATTTTCGTAACCAACACCCCCGCCACGAGAAGGCAGTGAGTAGGACATCCCTGGCGGAGGCTATATACGCATGGTCATGTGAGAGCATTTCGAGAGGGAGAATGGACTCTCCCCACTCTCGGCCGTACCATGGCATTTGGGGGCGTGTCACTATCTAGTTGACTATAGTTCCCAAATCCCTTTCTGATACCATCGTGATAGCCTATATTATCAACACTGATGTTAATACTAAAAAAGTGGATTATTTTACCAGTTACCTACATAAAATTTATCGAATACACAGATATTCCTCTTTCAAATTACTTTTCTCTTTTATTTAGTGCACAATTTTTTAATTCTAATCATTCAGCTGCTAAAGCAATCAGTTCAACTAAAATACAAGATCATATTTGGAACTTACATCAACAATTATTCACTGATTTGATAACATCTTTAATAGATAGTTTAATATTTAATAATGAATTTGTACAAATTATTCAAAATATTGTTATTCCATCTGAGAATATCATTCATGCATCATCATCATCATTGAACAACAATGAAATCATCGTTGATGATGATGACGATGATGATCCAGTCCCATTATGGATACAAATAAAATCAGATAATTGTTATAAACCTAACGAATTATCAATTAATTATATAAATGACATAAACAAAACAACAAATCACTTAAATCATTGGATACCTGAAATAGTTCAAGAGAAAACTAATAGACAAGATATGAAAAGTATAAATAAAGAAACTGCCGACAGCATGTGCATACAGTAAGTTGTATATTTATTCTTCCCCCTGCCTAAAATGGAAGTAAGCGTCAGTAAACACGATCAATTTCCCGTAACGATTAAACATCAAATAATCTGTGCATATCATATCTATCGTAAAAATAGGATAAGCCTAAGTATTACCAGATTTGTCTGTATATATTTGTGGAAGTTGCTAAGTTTCATTAAAATTATGAGCCAATCAAAGTAAGACCACATTTAGACAGCCACCTCATTATCGTAGATTTTTTATGGGGGACCTATAGAGCAATCTGGGTAACTAGCAGTCTTCTTGACCTGCGAACTTGAACGCAGTTGCCGAGAGACAAATGCTTGTAGCCAGTTACACAGCATTTCTGTGAATCTATGTTGAACTAGCTTCTCAATTTTCAGAATTCACTTCCACTAAGATGAAGAGTACTGTCCTTAGTACGTGTCATTCGCAAACTCTTTTCCGGTCTTTAGAAATGTAATGCGGTTGGAGATGTTGATTGTCCGTAGGATGCTTTATGCTGACATGACAATCCACTTCGAGTACGACATAGCCCTGAACTTACATTTGATGCCTTTAGTCTTACTACTCTCTAGCCAACCTATATAGTGTGATGCCACTTCGATGGACTGATTTAACTCGACTGGATCATCGCGATAAACAAGCCTAATCAGTGTTAAGATGACGTCTACAGTCGGAATATAATTTACTTAACATCCAATCACTTATTATAAACTAACAGCTTGTGAATGGTAATCATTTCTTCCTAGCTCAGTATTTATCAGCCTACATCAGATTAAATCTGAGATGAATGTCACACCACTGAGTCGAAATTCAGTGGTTTCATGTATTTTTTTTTGTGAATGAACTTTTAGTTAGATGTTAAAGTCTCAAGCCACCAATTCAATGTTCCCTGATTTTAAATGATTTCCCAACTAATTTAAAAAAGGTACTTACATGTTATACAGAAGCTCCACAACCTTTTCCTCTCGCCCCCTCCCTACCAATAAAATAATTAATATTTTTTAAATCATGTTCTAATCATTTTAGGAATCCGGCTATTCAATGGTTAATTGAAGGTGCTTTAGCTGGTATGTTAAGTAATATTCTGGATGAAGTAAATGAAAAAGAATTCGAAATAACTACTAGACCAAGAATAATCGCACTACCACCGATGACATCACAGAATAAAATGGAAGATAAATAAATGAAATACACTATGAATTATAGTAGTCTTGAAGTGAAACGAAACATCATTGAGCCCGTACAATACATAGACTAATGGTCATGTATAATTAATGTTTTTTTCTTAAAAATTTCACATTACAAAACGATAGACAATACAGTAGATTAGAGTAAGTAACTACAGAAACCCTTGACATTACTGTTTGTTACTCTTAGTAAAAAATAGAACAGTTCATGGATTTATTACATAAACCGGTCAGAAAAGTACAAGTTGATTAGATTGTACAAAATTTGTTAGTTCCAAAATACTCAAAAATTGACGTACGGTACATTGTATAACCCCTTTTTTAGCTACTATCATTACTGGTAATGAAAACAAATACTTTTTAGTAATTCTACCCTTCACTTTACTGTCCATATTCTAAGAGAAATAATTAAAATGAATATGAAGTTAATCTGAAAAATCTGATGTATTCACTCAATATACCTCGAAAAACCTAACCACACTCTTAAAAACATTTATTGAAAATTAAAGTTCAATTATTACTTGTATTGATTTGACTTCCTTTAATTTTCGTACAAAAAGACCTTAACGGATATGTGATCAGATTGTTCGTAATGTCATGAGTATTACATTTCTCAGAACAACTCCTTACATCTGTGGAAGGGATCCATTGTTCTACAATTAAAGAACAACTTAATGTTCAAGTAACTGGTTGTCAAAACCCGAATATATATGGCAATGTTCAAGCTTGAAACGTAATCTCTATAGTCCAAGTTAGTTGGTCATTATTACTTTAGAACCTCGTACGAATATCCAGTGATTTCCGTTATAACCCCTCAAATCACTATATAAAGAGGACATGGACAAAATGATTATTTTAGCACTTATATACTGCCCTGGTACGGTTGAGAGTGGGGAGAGTCAGCCCTCCCTCTCAAAATGCTCTCACATGGCCACGTGCATACAACCAGTCAGGAAAGTCCTACTCACTGCCTTCTCATCGCACGGGTGTTGGTTATGAAATTGAGAGGACGAAAAGCGAATATCCGGTGCTTTACCCGGGTCGGTGGATACGAAGATCGACCTAGCAGAGTTGGGAAACCCTGACTCCAAACCAACGGTGTACATGGATCCTGAGGAAAAAATTAACGTGTGAACCCATTATTGATCACCGGCCACCATGGGACTGCATCTCCTGACGTTGCTCTATTGTCTTGTGGATTAGATCATAAGGTCAAAGACTCGGTGTGTGGCCCCCTAAGAAAACAAGCTGCTCCGGTTTGGGCTCCTGGGCAGTACTCCACCCCTCACATAAATCGAGTTATGTGGCGCGTATCTATTTGGTGCCTCATTGTACCAATGTTTACGTGTTTAAATAAGTAAAACACTGGGGGTTTGTAGAATATAAAATGTCACTGCATCGATCCTTGAATTGGTAAGAATAATATACTTGGTACTGATGAGATTCGCTCTTAAAATATTAATACCAATGTGGTATTGACTTTTTAAAATTACGCAAAACACTGATCCACACTACAAACCAACCTACCAGTTCTCAGACAAATAGACAAATTGTTGGTGCCAAGTTTCCCCAAAGCATACAGAACTATATCAGTATAATAACACTGGGTTTTTAGTCTATTCATTAAACATAGTAATTAAATAATTTGAACGATCACACACACTGATAGTAGCCTTTAAATAGATAAACAAGAGAATAAATGAATATTAACTAGGTAAAGATTTATGGTACAAAAGCTAAAATTCTGAGACAATTGAATCGTGCACAATCGGTAATACTCAACTCAGGTGATTTAAGTATCTTATACATTTACATAAAAAGAACACGATAAACAAATAGACTTTATTGTGCAGCAGGCAAGTTAAGGAGTGTATGTTGACCATCAGGGATATAAGTGATATTTCGATTTTTCGAAAGTTGATAAGCAATATCTTCAGCAGCTTCGATTCGCCTTAATTCAATAAGACCTTCACCTGAAGATCCAAAAGATTTGGAAAGTAATGTTGCCGCTTCTGAGTCTCCTTCTGCAGATATAATGGCAGCCAGTTTGTGTTGTTCAGCCTTTGTGAATCAAGAAAGAATAAAATATCTTGGGCAGTTACAACATAACAAAACTACATTTAAATGACAACATAGAGGGATCACGAAGTAAAGAAGTGTAATTATCATATAAACGATATCTTTACTGACTATCAACAACACACTAATAGGTTGTATTGCGCTAAAACTTATACGTTGTTCCACATACTTAACTTGGAGACAGAGTACACGGTTAAATATCTGACTTTCAATCAATGCAACGGTTAGTTTGATTTGATCACCCAACATGAAGTATAGTACATATTATAATATCAAGCAAGTAGCTTTCTTTTAGATTCATTTTAGGAGAGCTCACCAACTTGAATTGATGTATTGATGAGTAAAGTTTTACATCGTCCGTACGAGCATGATAATTTGAAAAGAATATCTATCTGCGGTAATTTGTCAGAGCGTATAAAGCGACTGTACAAATGTGACCGATAATTTTCACTGTTTTAAAATGACTGTCTGATAGGATTTGCTTTTAGTAGTAATTAATTAAATAATGAAAGTTTTTAAACTGCTCATCAACTCCCGGAGAACATTTTACCTTTTCTACTAAATATCGTGCACGTTCAGCTTCTTGTTGAGCAACTTGTTTGGCTTCTACTGCTTCTGAGAATTCTCGACCGAAAGAGATTTGTGTCTGTGAGAATAAATAACACACGAAGCATTATTAAACAATAATAATAATGACAAAAACACCTTACTTATATTTTATATTCTTAATCTAACGTTAGCTTATTAGTTTAACAATCCTTCTTTACTTACACAGATTTCGTAGATGTAATACCTCATATTGTTATCAAAAAGCATACAGGCTCTTTAGCCAGGGTCTGCTTAATACTCGTAATAGGTGATATGGGGTGGAATCCGTTGAAGTGGCACAGCTTCAACTATTCTTTCCTAAAAACCTTAAATTCTTTGATCTTATTTGTTCCTTTTCAACGGCATTTTTCATGCCTAAGTTCTTGCTTCATTTAATATTATTTCCTCTACTTTGCTTTTAATCTCGTTAACTTCCTCTCTAGCTTTGCTGATGTGAGATGTGGCAAATGGGAACCATAAATATTCGATGATGACTGATGGGCTTTGTAACAGCCGTTTTGGAAGTGTGGCAAAACTGTAACCAACTTCAGACGCGACACTGTCTAATCAGTATAACATCTAACGGCGAGCAAAGCGGTGCCTTGAAAATCACTTGAACCAGTGTTATTTGAAACAATAAGGACAATCTGAGTATATAATAAGAGAGTATGAAACCATAACGAGATGCTAGGTCGGAAAATGACAAATAGAAACAAAAGAAATTATTTACTAAATAAATACAGTGACATTTACCAGGGCAATATCGTCTAACAATATACCAAATGATGAAGCTCGTTGGGTAAGATCTTCATTCACTCTCTGACTGACCAATTCTCTCTGCGTTATAAGCTCACTTGCATCAAACTGAGCAACCACTGCTTTGAGCACCTCAGTGGTAATGGAAGGAAGAACACGTTCCTCGTAGTCAAAACCTAGGTTCTGATAAATCTTTGGTAGAGTAGATGGCTCAGGGCGAAACAATATGCGCAAGGTTATATTCACTGTTTGTAGATCTATGTGGATAGCAACAAAAACACAAATATGACCCATGGAAATGAATGACGCATAAATTGAAGATACTATAATTGCTATTATTGAAGAAATCTGTGCGGCATGGTTATCAAGTGTATTTTCCCGCGCAAACGTAAAATGAAGAGTAATGCAACAGATCCAGTTGACGAAGTACTTTACTACAAACCATATGATGAATTTCGGTGAGAATGACTGCTAGAGTTTTGGATGAAGTGAACTCTTAACGAATGTTTTGTGGCCGAGTGAAGTTAATTGACAATTAGTTTTTATTCATATGATTGAGTTTATTACAAAAATACAATTGCGACTATGCCTAATACTTTGATATCAGGTTCAACAATCTTCATGGATTACTGAAGTCATAATCTATAAGAAACATTCCTTATGGTCTTACTGTAGGAATATAAATAAAAGCCGTGCAGTGAAAAATAACTCATTTCCCAGTATGTTTAATGAGCTTGTCCTATTTCTTGTACGTTGTCTGAAATTTACAAGCTGAGATACATAAATCAGGTCCAGACTAGCAACCTGCTCTTTCAAAGTTACACGGATAAAGTGTATTCTTTAACACTTAAATTCAGTGATAGTCTTTTTTCCTCAAACTACGTATTCTCTTTAGTTTTCCACCACTATATTGACTTTTTTCTCATTTGGTTGGGTTTCCCTAGTTGTTTTGTAAAGTGTGGCAACTCGGCTAGGTGGACATCTGTGTGCTACAGTGGGTATGCCCGACTATTGTTGCTACCTTGACGTGGAGGCCGGGCCTGCCCATCGTAATGAACCAATCGAGCTATGCTGGCTGGAACAATCGTTCCTCAAGGTCCTACCATGCCGGAAAGGTCGGTTGAAGAGCGCTAAGACTAAAAGCCGCAAACCCAAGGTCAGGGGGTAAAGTCGTACTGCTAACTATTAGTCAGTCAGCTACAACGTAGGACCAACCAAATATATGCGTCGGTCCAAGTTGCCAAACCTCATTAACACAAGATGAACACCGAATTCGTAGAAGTAGTTAATTCACTGGTGGTAATATATAAAAGAAAGATTTCTTACAAAGACATAGTACAGGAAGAAAGAATTAATTCGAAGAAAGATAAGAAACGATTGTAATCTCTTAGTTTAAGGGAAGACAGAGAGTGTATACACCGAAGCCATTGTGATCGATTCTGAGCCATGTCACCCATAATCTCCAACCATTGGTTACGATAGTCACGCGGACCCCAACCAAGTAGTCAGCATCTACCAACATGGCTCAGACTAGAAGTTAGTGACTCCAAGCACTGATACCACGTTTTGGTTT